GGACTTGTGTGTGTGGTGCCATCATTATCAGCCAAGGGGAAGGCCCCCGTCAGGCACAGCTCGCTCACAGGGGAGAATTCTGAAGGTGGAGGCTTGGTCTGCCAAGGTCTCGGACCCAGGATGGCGCTGGCTCCCCACGGCCCACAGGGCCCAGCGGCAGGGACACCCCGGCACAGCCCTCCATCTCAGCGCTGCCAACACTTTGATTTTAGCAATGAGACCCCTCTGACGGACTTCTGACCTGCAGAACTGTGTGTGGAGTGCAGTGTTGGGTGTGCGAATGATAAGTGGGTATTGTTTTAAAGACGCGAAGTTTGGGATAACTTGTTACTACAGCAATAGAAGATGTATTCACGTGGCTTCGGCTCAAAGCCGAAAGAAAGAGGAAAGTGTTTCAAGGCTGGAGCCGGCCCGCTGTGTGGAAGGCGGGAGGGGGGGGGGGAGGTTGAGCAAGAGAAAGAGGTGTGAGCTCTGGGTGTGGCGGCAGTTTCAGCAGAGGGGTGAGGTCCGGAGCCAGCCGGGAGTGGGCTGAGGAGGGAGGACAGGGTGAGGAAGGAGAGGCGATGAGCACAGACAAGCCTGCTGTAAAGCGTGGCTGTGGAGGGGAGGAAGGAAATGGGGCCGTGACTGGAAAGAGGATGTTCACCAGGAGCTGCATGCTGTCAGTTTTTAGCGGGAGCCAGAGAGCGAGTTTGTTTGCTGGAGAAACCTGCCTAGTGGAGACCAGAGTCAGCTTTGCCAGGGTGGGTGGAGGGGGTTCAGGAGCAAAGTCCCTGAGCGGAGAGAGGGCCCGACCCAGAGCCTAGGGCAGAGGTTGGCCTTGGTGGGAGGAAGGAGGGAGCTGGGAGCCAGGAGAGCGCAGGTGCAGGGCTGATGGTGGGAGGAAAGGAGCTCTCATCTGATGGCTTCCATGTTGTCATCCAAACGGCTGAAGGGAGGTCTCCTGTGAGGATATGAGGGTGTTGGAGGTTCAAAGAGACAGGAAAGATCTAAAATGTGTTATCTCGGAACGTGGGAAGCCACCAAACTGCAGAGGTAGAACAGCATGGCTCCAGGAAGGGGTGGCCTTTGCTGCCTCCTTCTCCCCGCCTCCCCCCTCCTTCCAGCACCAGGCCTGTGAGTGGTCTGTTGGGTCCGGAGTGGGCTCTGGAGAATGTTACTTCCTGGACACATAACCCGGAGCAGCTTTCTTAGCCTGCCTGAGCCTCAGTCCTCCCCTCTCCCCACCACCCCCCATCCCACCTCATCATTTTAATTCTGCTTGCCCTGCCTATTTCCATCAAAAGAGACAGCATGAGGCCCTGGCCAGTTAGCTCAGTTGGTTAGAGCACCATCTTGATATACCAAGGTTGTCGGTTCAAACCCTGGTCAGGGCACATACAAGAATTAACCAACGAATGCATAAATAAGTGGAACAATAAATCAATCTCTCTCTCTCTCTCTCACTCTCTCTCTCTCTTTCTCAAAATAAATAAAAATTTAAAAAAGAGACAGCATAAGCCAAACTCATTCTACTTTTAATATTTGTGTGTGTGTGTGTGTGTGTGTGTGTGTGTGCGCACGCGCGCGCGCACGCTATTCCTTTAAATACAGATTTCTCATATCTGTCCTATCCCCACACATGCCTCTCCCACTCTCAATCTGGGGCCAGGGAAGCTCCCCCTGACCGGGGTTCTGCCCCAAATGTCCCTTCTCAGTGCTGCCACAGCCCTGGGGAGAGCCTCCCAGAAAATGGGCGCTGCCACTACCTTGCTGTGTGGCCTTGAGCACGACCCTTCATTCTTGCTGGGCCCCAGTCTCCCCTCCAGAGAGAGAATAAGGCAACTGGGCCTCGTGTGGACAGGAGGGGGCAGGAGGGGAGGCTGGGGTTTTCGAGTTGTCCGTTTTCACTTCTGAGGCCTAGAAGGACCCAGGTTTAGGGACCCTGCACCGGGCACAGTCCTCTCCACTCTCCCGCTTCCTGTAAGTTGCCTTTTGTGCTGAAAGCCCACTTTTATGGACGATCATCAGGGCAGCCTCACTCTCTGGCTTTGATAGGGTTTGGCCAATGGGAAGCCCTGGCAGGACAACAGAGGATGGAGGAGAAAGAGGTGAAGCGAGACTTTCCTGGTGCGAGCCCCCCCCCCCCCCCCAACCCTCACCCCTCGCCTCCCTGTGTTGGTGGCAGTGGCCGCAGTTACAGGCCCAGCTGGGTGGCCCCTCTTCCTGGGCTCCAGCTCCCGCCCCTCTCATCACAGGAAGTGGAGGCAGTGAGCACAGACAAGCCTGTTGTAAAGCCCCTGCAGGGGAAGAATGCTGAAGGGACTTCCTGCCGCTGTTGGGTGCTGGGGACCTCACAGCTCTGGTCAGTTTCTCTTACCACCCACCCCCATATGCACACACCTCTGTAAGTGAACCGTTAACCCCATGACCCCCCTTCAGCGAGCCCTCTGAATGTGCCTTCACTTTCCTCCGTGCCTGCCGCACACAGACTCCGAGCTTTCGGTGCTGGTGTTCTCACCCACCTCAGCTTGGAAAGGTGCAGTGGGAAGGTGAGTTGAGAAGGGACAAGGCCAAGGTCCCTTCTCCGTTGCTGGGCATTTGTCTTCCGGCTTCCTGCCTCTCTGATCCTCCCTGCAAATTCTTCAGTGGCAGGTCACTGAATGCGCTGCTATTGGATGACATATTTTACCCAAAACGATTCTGTTGCTCATAACAATGACCTGTATTTGTGTATAAGCTGCATTCCTCTCGCCATCTACCTCATTTTTGTCCTGCATAACACATGGATGAATCACACGTGGCAAAGTCAGCCGGCTCCTTCTGCCTCAGTCCCCTCATCTGTAGAAATGGGATAACAATACCACCAACCTCACAGAGCTGGTGTGAGGGCTACCTGAGTGATATCTGTAAGTGCTTAGAATAGCAGGTGCAAAGTATCGGTGAATGCTGTTATTATTCTCATTGGATTTATCTTGGCCCACTTGCCTACAGCTTATAGGAAGAGGAGCAGGGCCCTAACCGGTTCGGCTCAGTGGATAGAGCGTCGGCCTGCAGACTGAAAGGTCCCAGGTTTAATTCTGGTCAAGGGCATGTACCTTGGTTGCGGGCACATCCCCAGTAGGAGGTGTGCAAGAGGCAGCTGATGGATGTTTCTCTCTCATTGATGTTTCTAGCTCTCTATGCCTCCTCTCCCTTCCTCTCTGGAAAAAAAATCCATTATATACATTTTTTTAAAGGGTGCAGGGGACCTGGGTAGGTATTCCTATGTACCCTCAGTTTCCATGCTTTCCTCAGCACTCATTCCCTCTCTGTATCCCATTCCTGAGTAGATTTCCTTCTCTGCCACCTTTTCATCCCACGAAGCTGCTGGAACGGCAAGCAGGCACATTGTGAGTCTTTCCTTTTCTGCTCTCAGTTCCAGACCAGTGGCTTTCCCTTGGGGACATGGGGAGCCCTGGGTTCCCAAGGAGCCCCAGAGACCACAGAAAGAGGGACTCACTCTAGGTCACAACTTTAGCCTGCTTTTGTCTGATTAAGCTTCCCTTCAAGATTCTGTTTAAACAAAGACTTCTGAGACGAAAACGTCAAAAACCCCTGTTCCAAGACATTGGAACCCCAGCTGTTGTAACTCTCCGTTTCTTTGGCCCCATCGCCAAGAAAGGGCCTCTAATCTATTCGAGGAGTTTGCATTCTTTTCCATTTCTGACACCGAAACAGATACGTGAACAAGCACATCTTTGTGTACTCATCCAGGGTGTCTTTCTGAGGCTGGCGTGCTTAGCAGACATTGTCTCCTTAATTATCTGGCCCCTGGAGGAGATAACCACTGCTTAACAATGAAGACATTTGAAGGCATCTGACTTTTACCGGCATCTGATCCGGCCACTGGAATCCTCCCAGCCCCTGGAATCCAAGGTTAGGAGAGAGCCTTCAATCCTGATGACCCTGGGTGGGGCCTGTTCTCCGTGGCTGCTGGAAGTGAGGAAGAGGTACCGGTATCTGAAGTTGGCGAGAGGATCTGGGGAGGTACTAACACTCCATCCGGTCAACATGTAATTTCTTTGTGGAGTTCAAGAGAAGAGGAACACATGAAGGCAACAAAAGCCCAACCTCCAGATTTCTCCCCCGAGCTCTCTCATCCCAGATTGCCACGAGGCTTCCTCCGACACCGCATTTGGGACTTTGGTTCTGAGCCTTCTTCCAGTCAGGCCCCTTTTCAAAGAGCAAGGGATGGGCTAAGGGATGTGCTCCTCTCCCCATCCCACCCCCCCAAGCTCCTGCTCCACACTTCTCAGATCATATTATGATTCTCAAGACCCTAGGACTCACTGCCACCGGAGCGCCAGGCCAGTTTCTAGAATCCCCCCAGGTCTGTCTCTCCTGTGAGGGGCCAGGAGTGGCTCTGTGCAGGAAGCGCGGGTGGGTGTGCAGACAGGGATGTCACAGGATCTAGGATGCACAGTCAGGGAAGCTACAGGCCCCTTGGCCCCTTGGCGTATGGGAAAGAGCTGAGTGGTCCGAGCCTCTGGCGGTGTGGACACTTCTGATCCCTGTAGGAGTCATGGTACCACCAGTCGGTCTTCTCTCCCAACTGTTTTTAACTACCTTACAATGTTATCGCTTATTCCAACTCATTTTCGGTTGGATGCAGGGCCTGCGGGAAGCCAAACGACCTCCCCCAGGCCCTAGCAGCTCCGCGAACGCCCCGCTCCTTCTTCCATTTGGGGATGAGGGAGGGCTCCAGGGCCTGGGCTGCGCTCCCTGCATCCCTGGATCCAAGGCCGGGCCATGCTAGCGCGCCTCCGAGGCCTCGGGGAAACCGCGAAGGGGGCGCTCGTGGTCCAGCCTGGACTCCGGCACGTGGGCCCGTAGGCCCCGCCCCCGCCCGCTCTCCGGCCCTTTGGCCGAGGGAGGGGCGGGGCTACGGAGCGAGGGGCGGGGCCAACGGAGTGCGGGGGCGGGACTACGGAGCGCGGGGCGGGGCCGACGGAGCGCGGGGCGGGGCCCGTAGCTCCGCCCACGGAACGGAGGCAGGAGGTGAGGCGGCGCCCGCGAGCACCAACTCATCCGAAACTTGCGCGCAGTGGTGGGCGCAGCGCGGAGGATGGGCTGGTGCGGCCGCTGCTCGGGGCCGCCGCCGTCGCTGCCGCTGGTGCTGCTGGTGCTGCTGGCGGCGCCCGGCGCTGGCGCGGCCCCGCGCTCGGCGCTCTACTCGCCGTCCGACCCGCTGACGCTGCTGCAGGCGGACTCGGTGCGCGGCGCCGTGCAGGACTCGCGCAGCGCCTGGGCCGTGGAGTTCTTCGCCTCCTGGTGCGGCCACTGCATCGCCTTCGCCCCCATGTGGAAGGCGCTGGCCAACGACGTCAAAGGTGAGGAGCCCCGGGGGCCGGAGGGAAGGCCCGCACCCCGGGCGCCCCAGGCCGACCCTCCCCACCCACCCACCCACCCACCTGCCCCGCAGAGGGCCCCTCCCCCTCCCACTTCCCCCAGTTTCACAGCCATCCACTCCCTGGTGGCTCCCCGGCTTCCCCGTCTTCCCCTGGCCCCTGTCTGAGCTTCTACTCCAGACCCGCTCTGCCTTCCCGGCCTCCCGTTCCCGGCTGACTGCCCCCTCCCTGCGGCCGGGGCTCCTTTGTTCCATCTCGGGGATGCCCTAGGGCTTCCTCCGGTCCAGCCTGTGGCAGTGCCTGTCCTCGGGCTCAGGGAGCCGAGGCTCCTTCCTGCCAGGCTCCCCAGCTGCTGGGGGTCCGTGCTGGGGGGAACAGGAACTGACACCCCACCTTCTTGGCCCCCCCTCAGGGGTAGTTGACCCAGCTGGTTCGCAGACGTCCTTTCTCAGCTTTACCTTTGGGGCAGTTCTCCTGTGTCAGTTCCAGGCCTGCTGCCTCCAGCTCTTCAGCTTCTGGGCCGCATCCTTCTCTCCCCCCCCCCTGGGTGCCACGCTCCCTCCCTCCCTCTCAGACCCTCCTGTTTCACCCTCGTGGGCCCAGAGGCCTGGCTGAGGGAAGGCAGCCGGTTAGTGTGTGTCTGGCCTTTGCTCCACTCTAGCTTTGATTCGAAAAGCCCCATCCGTTGGAGGAAACCCCATTCATTTACTAACAGCCCCGGGGGTAGAGCGATCAGAAGACCCCTGTGTGTAGGGAGTGAAAGGTGTACCCTGCTATAGAAATGTTAACGTTTTTGAAAGCTTAAGGCTTAGAGCTGAGGGAATACGGGGATAATATCATATTTACTGAGGGCTCACTATATGTCAGACGATATCTCCGAGTTTCCTTTCCACGAGTTTCCTTCCCACGGTTTAAAGACCCCCGCGGTGTCACACATCTGCCTCGCGTGGTGTTGGGAGGCAGGAGGGCTTGGGGGTCATGATTTGCTTCTGACTTGCTGCCTCTGAACGAAGCTACTTCCCGACTGTGATGCTGGGGCCTGGCAGGGCTCCTCATCATTGGTGGTCGTTGAATGAGGACTGTGGGCATCTGAAGAAACGGGCCTCTTTCTTGGAAAGAGGAGAATTGGGACGCCTGCCGGCCCGCTGGTATTGTGTTTTATACACTCAACTGTTGGTGGCCAAATAGCCCCCGTGGAGATGGTTTTCACACTCAGCCCACCTCTTCCTTGAGTGGCTTGGACAGTGGTTACCAAAGAAACCATGGGGTCCAGGGAAGTTATTTCTGAATGAAACCAATAAGCCATTTTGCCTCCAGTTTACATGTAGACACCTGTCTGCATGCCTCTCTGGTCCCATCACCTGAAGGCGCCATTTCTCAGCCGCTCTTCACACCATGTCAGTGATGTCAGCACATCTGAGTAGGGCAGGAGGGAGGAAGAATGTTGAATGGGGAATTGGAACACCTTACGGGACATCAGGGGCTTAGGAGACGTTGTGGACCTGAGCATCATACACATCCTGAGATCGGGTTCCACTTTGAGGCTGTAGGTCCTTAGTGGCCGCGGGTGGACTCAGCCTGGAAGAGTCTCCTATCCTGAGAGTGCCTAACTTCCAGCTGACTCAGGTGTTCGGCCTCTTGCAACCCAGACTTTTCCAATGGATTGCACAGCAGGGACTGACCCAGCCTACTGCTGGGTCAGGGTTGCCACTTCCAAAAGGGGTCTTTTCCCCAGTTCATGGAGTGACAGTCCCTAAAAATAAGGAAGGGTGGGGAGGGCAAAAGCAAAACGTAACATCAGAAGGGAAAATGGGAGCCTTGAAGTCTGTAGAGGTGAGAGGTTAGGTGGACAGGGCGGAGTCCTGTGAGTGGCCGGAGTGAGGCCCTGGCCAAACCTGTAGCAGTGGAACATGCCCTCCCCCTGCCCCCCAAGCCAATGGCGTTTCCTGGGGAGGCCCCGCTGAGAAGCCGGGTGGCTCTCCCCTCGTCTTCGTTCTGAGGTTCCTTGAGAAAGTTTGGTTGTGGGCCGGCAAAGGGCTGCTCTCACACCTCCCCGGGCCCGGAAGGGTGGCCCTGGCCTCTGCCCCCTGCTATCTTGGGTAGGAGCAGCAGGACTGTGGAAGATTGAGGGGGGAGAGAAGCATTCTGCAGCCCTGCCCAGCTGGCCTCAGGCATTCGATCGGACTGGCTAGGGCTCATTTCTCCGGGGACTGGCGGGGTAGGTTCTCGGGGCAGTGGTTGCCCAGGGGCAGAGCGCTGAGGACCAGGCGGGAGCATCTCTCATTTGCCTCACGTACGTTTGGGAAATGGATTGTGTTAGTTTAGACCTTCATTACTCCTCACCAGCTAATCCCTCAGCAAATATTTGTTGGATGACCTCTGCACAGAGCATAGTTTGCATTGCGTTTGTGGGAAATGAACTGCACAGGGCAGGAGACTCGGCACCAGGAAGAGGCGGTGTTTGAAATGGGCCAAAAGCTGCTCACTCAGTCATTCCTTTCTCCTTTTCTTTTTTTTACAGGTTTTTAAAATTCTTCCCTGAGGACATGGTTTCTTTTTTAAATTTTATTATTTACTTTATTTATTTTTACAGGTATTTAACTTTTAATATAGGTAACATTTTCGCAACAAATTGAACTAACATACGACGTTAGATACTTGTCAAATAACATTTTGAACAATAAGGAACAATCAATTACTATAAAAATAGTGTGTAGCACAGATAATAATTTAATTTAAAAAAATAAGGGGAAAATAGTGTGTAAAACTCAAGTGATTTAAATGGCTACAACTTAAAAAAGTTACTTTAGAATCAGATATTCTAATGGTTTTAAACAAATAGTACTTTGGACTATTTAATGAAATAAGAAAATATTTCTCTCTTTCTCTCTCTTTTTCTGAGTGCTGGTGTCTCCCATCCCCTCCCTCCCTTATTGATTAAGGTATTACATATGTGTCCTTATGCCCCCATTGCCCTCCCACCCTTCCACTCATGCCCTCACCTCCCTGTTGTCTGTGTCCGATATGGTTTCTTTTTTGTTGGTTTTAGAGGGAGAGGAAGGAGAGAGAGAGGGAGAAACATCAATTGGTTGCTTCCTGTACACACCCTGACTGGGATTAAACCTGCATCCCGGGTGTGTGTCCTGACTGGGAATCAAACCTGCCGCCCTTCATTGCGTAGGTCGGACGACGCTCCAACCAACTGAGCCACACAGGCCAGGGCCCTGAGTCATTCCTTGTTGCAGAAATTCAGGGAAGGGGAAAGTCACAGGAGGCTGGCTGCCTGGTCACCAGGGGCCTTCATTCATGCAGTTATGAACAACTCCCCTAACGCCAGGCACTTTGCTGGCTCGGCCTCAGCAGGCCACTGTCCTGTCTAATCTTTATGAGCTATGTCTGAGCAGTAGATGCTGTCTTTTATCACAGATGCTAGAGGAGGTCCTTGAACCCAGCTCTTCCTGACTTCCCGGAGCTTGGGCTGGGGGAGAGGTGGGAGGAGGAGGAGGGAAGTGCCAGGGGGACGTGGCCTGTGCAGAGAGGTGGAGGTGAGACCCGGATGTCTGAGCGGTGGTGAGCAGTGTTGGCTCGCCTCCCTTTCTCTTCCAGGGCACAGACCAGCCCTCCTCCACCTTCCCCGCGGTGCCTGGCGCAGAGCCTGGCACAGGGCAGGAGCCCGCGGGACACTCATGCAGGCCAGGGGCATGACCCTCACGGGACTCGTGAGTGTGAGTGACCGAGCCTTCGGCTGGCTCTGAGGCTCCTCCTGACTCAGACCCGGGGTGTCAGCCAGGTATGAAGGCTCGGGAAGCCATTCTGTGCATCTCGTGACCTCACTGCCCATAAGCCTGCCCCAGGGCGGAAGGGACGAGGCGGTGACCTCATAGTCCTGACTGACTCCCTGTGTCAGGACGATTCCTAGACAGTTTGGCGGGGCTCTCGGTGGGTCTGGCCTCTGCCTCAGGAGACACCCAGGCTTGCTTACCACCCACAGGCCTCACGGCCATTCTTCTCGCCGAGCGTTTGCCACGTAGCAATCTACAGAGCTGGAAGGGACGTGGACAGCTCCAGCCCGGGCCCTCGTTTGAAGGAAACGGAGGCCCAGAGAGGAGATGTGTGGGCTCCTCTCCTCCTCGGCCAGTGAGAGCTCCAGGCAGGTCTTGTGGCCCTGGGTCTGGTGCCCCTTCCTGGGCGTGTGAGTGGGGCAGGGACATTGCTTGGGGCCTCAGAAGTGGCCCTTCACCCCTTCACCACAGTGTCCCTTCAGCCAGCCGCCTCCCCTCCCAGCCACAGCTGTCCGGGTCACGTGGGCCTCCCCGCACATCCCTGCGCCATTTGCTCATTTCCTCTCCTGCCGGTGGAGAAGGGACTTGGCCAGGGCGGTCATCGCACCGGGAGGTGCTGGTCTTGCGGTGTCAGGCCTGCCGGCGATGGCGTTGAAGCCGCCTGCCGCTTTAAAAAGGCCCTCTCGCCGGTTCCGTGCCTGTGACCGCGGTGCACGTGGCTTCACGGGGAGCACCGGGGGAGGGCCTCTCCCCTGCATTGCTGTCCCAGAGGGAGGAGGAGTCAGGCCCACGGGGGTTCAGGCAGCCCAGATCCTTACGGCATCGTGGCTCACGGAGGCATTGACAATGATGTTCCTGAGAAACATTCCCCAGCCGGGACTCTCCCAGCACCTCACCGGCCCCAGCCTCTCCCTCCCGCTCCCGCCGGGTCTGGGGCAGGTGAGAAGAGGCCCTGGGTCCGAGTCTGGGAGGGACAGGGAATCAGGCTTAAAGAGAAGGAGGCAAAGACCGCCCAGGAGCATGGGGCTGGGAGCACCCAGGCCTCCTCTGTCCTTACCACCAGCCCCACCCGCCCCGAGCCCCTGGGAGATAAGCCGACAGAGCCGCTCTCTGTTCGGCCCTGGGCCCTCCTGAGACCAGCACTGGGGCTGCCTTCCCGGGTTCCGACCCCAGATTCCCCGTGGATGGGCTGTGTGCCTGGGACGTGGTATTCTAATCTGTCTCACAGTCCAGGAAAGCAGGCCTCGAGATGAGCACCCCCTGAACTTTTCTCAAAGGTAGTTACAACCGTTAAACCTGACCAGGAAGGCCCATGGCGAACCCTCAGGTACACAGTGTCATTCTCATCCGAGTCAGAGCGGCCGCTGTGCTATCGACCCCGTGAGCTACAGAGACAGGTGAGGAGCCAGACGACAAAGCTGGCCCTACCGTTCCCTCACTCCTGGGAGGCGGTGACGGAGCAGACAGCGAAGACGCAGAGGTGGTGTCCTGACCCCGGGGAGGCCAGCCGGGGAGCCCCGGGACAGGCGGAGGCCTCAGACCCTGTCCTTGCTTGTAAAGCGGGGGCATGCCGGCACTTCCAGTGGCCGTGGCGGAGTGGGACCGCCTGGCTGTCTCCTGGGTGCTCACTGAGCGCTGCCTTCCTCCTCTCCCCCCGCCCCATCCCTTCAGTCTTGGTTCCCCAGCGGGCGGCAGGGGTGCTAACTCCGGCCCAGGGGTGCTGACTTGCGTTCTTGGAGGGGAGCAGGGCATCGAGGCCTGTGGTCCTTGGTCACCCTGCCCGGCCCTCCCCGGTGGAAGGCTGCAATATTGCCCCTCTGCTGTGCCCTTACGTTTAATTCACTTGCTGACTCTTTTGAAAACAGCTGGGCCTCTTCTGTGGGGCTCCCCGAACGCGGGGAACAGAGCCGTCGATGCAGAGCAGGAGCCGGGCCTCTTGCATGCCAGGTGGCCATGGGGTGACCTGCGCTTCCCACCCACCCTCCCGGGGCCTCGTCTGGGCAGAAGGAAAGCCTGGGTGCTCTCCTGAGACCCAGGGCAAAGCCCTGTACCCGGGCGCTCTTCCTCCTGCATTTGCGGGCGCCTGGTGTTAGCCTCACTCCCTCTCTGGACCGGAGGATGCACTGAGGCTCACCGGGCAGCGCGGAGCCCTCCCGAAGCGCCTACTGTGTGCTCGGCAGTGGGGATACAGAAATGAAGAGACACTTGGGGATGGCCAGGCTTGTGGGCATGTGGCAGAAACACAAGCAGAGCCTTGGGCTTGTAAGGCAGCTCTTCCTGGTGGGGGAGGGGGGGTGAGAGAGGACCGAGTGTTCCTGACAAATGGAAGAAAAGCTCAACCTTTGGGGGCGTGGAAAGAGGGGGCTCGGTGGGCAGGGGACACGGGGAGAATGGCCTTAGGGCTGTGGGTTCCTTCTGAAGGCAATCGGAGAATTCCACCGGAGAATCCCGAGTCGAGAGGGGCACAGCACATGGACAGAGAGGAAGGCTCGCTTGGTGGCTGGTGGGCTGGTGAGAGCAGTTTCTGGAGAGGGGCTGCCCTGAGAAACTCACACCAGCTCAGTAGCCATGGAGGGTGGGTTAGTGGTGGATGGGGAGGAGATGAGGAGAGGCTTGGGAGGGAAGGTGGGCAGGATCCGGAGGCTGGCTGGGTTCCTGGATCCGTGTGGCAGACTGCCTGACTGCCCCGTCCAGTGGTGCCCATCCCCGGCGGGGAGAGTGTCCGGAGGGCCGGGCCGCAGAGATGCTGCCCTGAGCACGGCCAGTGTGTGCCGGCTGCCCAGCGGGTGACTTACAGCCGACACGTGCACACCAGCTGGCAGAGATTTGGATACACGCCAACTCGTGTGCCAATGGGGGTTGGCGAAGTGGCATGTCAGGACGTGGCCCACCTGTCTCTGCTAAACACTTTCACTAAACACGATCCCTCGTTCCCCTCCGCCCCCACTCACTGCCTCCCGCCAGGATTCCAGAAGCTTCAGTGCCAAGAGTGGATTGCCGTCAAGAAAGGAAGAGGGGGTGGGGGCAGGGACCGGGAGGGAGAGAGTGTTGTTTCAGGCCTGCCTCCCGGCCCCAGGCCCCTCCCTGCTGTCCCCGCAAGAAGGACCAACTTAGTTGCTACCTGTTTTTCCTTTGAGGGACGGGCCAGCGTTGTCAGGGAGGAGTCCTGCCTCTTCCTGCCTCTGGTCTGTCTTGTGGAAGTGAGCCTGATGCTCCTCCCTTAGGCATCACCTGTTTGTGGGAGCGCTGATGCCTTCTGAAGTAGGCATCAGACATCGTAAAGGATGGGTTCAGGGTGAGGTAAGAGGTCCTGGCAAAGCCATGATTCTCAGGGATGTTATTCAGACTCTAGAGGCCCGGTGCACAAAATTCACGCATGGGAGGATGGGGGAGGGGGAGATGATGTGTCCCTCAGCCCAGCCCAGCCCTCTCCAATCTGGGGCCCCTCGAGGAGATCTGACTTCCCGTGTAGGCCTGATCTCGGTAGTCACAATCCAGGGATGTCCGACTGCCTGTTTTTAGTCACAATCCAGGACTGCTGGCTCTGAACTGCTAACCACTCTCATGCCAGCCTGATTGATGCCTAACTGCTCCCCTACCTGCCTGTTCCACCCCTAACTGCCCTCCCCTGCAGGCCTAGGTCCACCCCAACTGTCCTTCCCTGCAGGCCCGATCACCCCCAACTTCCCTCCTCTGCCAGCCTGGCCACCCCTAACTGCCCTCCCCTGAAGGCTTGATCGCCCCCAACTGCCCTCCCTTGCAGGCCTGGTCTTTCCCAACTGCCCTCCCTGGCTGACCGTCTTGTGCTGGCCATCTTGTATCCACATGGGGGCAGGATCTTTGACCACATGGGGGCAGCCATCTTGTGTATTGGAGTGACAGTCGATTTGCTCTTTTATTAGATAGGATTAGTAATTTGCACTTAATGGGTACTGGGCAACCCCACTGTAGGGGGGTAGGGCCCCGTGGGGAGCACACGTGCCACCAGGCAGCTTCCTCCTTCCTGCATCTGCCCGGAGAGCAGGGGCTCCAGGTGCTGAGGGAGTCAGCCCCACCCCTCCAGCCAAGCGCTCCCAGGACCCCTGCGCCGCCTCTTCAGCCATCTGGTCTCCCTCAGAGGGTCCCGACCCGCTGCTTCTCGTGTTGCTTGACAATCTGGCTGTGGAGTTCCACTCTGTTTCCACCTTTCCTGCCAGGCCCACCCTCAGCCCCCAGGGCAGGTCTCTCCCGGCTCCAGCCTCCTTCAGAGCTCTAACAGACGGCATGGCACCAGCCCGCTGCCACCTCGCGCTTCCTGTGGCCCCGTGTGTGTATCTTGCCCTCGGGTGGAGCAGACTCCTAGTGACGGGGAGCGTTGGTGGGTGTTCACGGGGCACCTTGACCTGGAGCCGGAGCTCTGGAGGCCTGCCTGGTGGATGAGTTTGTTTTCTGTTTCCCAGACCCTGGGCTGTGGCCCAGGACCGTGCCCCCATTCTCTCTGCCCGTAAATCACAAGGACATGCAGCCTGGGGCCTGGTGCTGGGCCGCTGCTCATCTCCTTCCAGACCCTGACCTCGGGGCTCTTTCCCTGTGGCTCCTAGATCCCTGGAGCCTCCCCCTTCCTCCCCGGACTTCCGGCCTCCCTCGCTGGCTGGGGAGCCAGTGCCCAGCACCTCGTGTCCCGCCACCCGAGCGGGGCTGAGTGCCAGTTCCTCTGGCCAGAAAAATGTCTCCGAGGGCCCCCTGGGAAACGTCAGACTTCCCGAGGCATGTGCTCCGCCCTCCTGGAGCTGGTTTTCCCTGCAAGGCCATCTCCCTTCAGCCCCCCTCTCCCTTCAGCCCCCCTGCCCCCAGTTAGGGGGGACACAGATGCTGTCACAGACAGCATTGCTAGTGCCGTTTCACTGTGTCCTCAGCACAAGCTGGATGCATGACCTGACTGCACCGGAGGGTCTTTTCGAGGAAGGGGGCCTTTCTCTAAGGGCCTTGGGGGCGGGTGGGGGTGGGGTTGGGTGCTGCACGGGGAGTGAGCAGGCCATGGTGCCAGCCCCTCTTCCTCTTCTGGCTGTTTCTGTCCTTTCAGACTGGAGGCCGGTGCTGAACCTCGCTGCCCTGGACTGTGCTGACGAGGCCAACAGCGCCGTCTGCAGAGACTTCGACATCCCCGGCTTCCCGACCGTGAGGGTGTGTGGCGAGGCGCGGAGTGGGGAGCGGGCCTGGGGGCGGGGGGCGGGGGGAGCGGCTGCCAGCTCTGAGCTTCTCTGACGCTCCTGGTCTGTTTACATCCCAGCCGCTGAGACACCGTGAAAGGCAGAAAGGGATGTGGGTTAGGAGGCAGAAAAGAAAGGTTCACGCAGTCTGGCAAGTCCCCTTTATACGGGAAGGGGAGTGTGGGGTACATGATGGGGGGCAGATTTCGGCTGTGAAGGCATTACCCCCCTCCCCCCGCCCCCCAGGCTGGTGAGAGCTCCCAGCTCCCAGGGGCCTCCTCCCAGGTCCTCTCCCTCCAGACTGCCTGGCTCTGGAGGTCCGATCTAACTCTAGAAAACTCGCCCGTGGCAGGATCAGACTCAGGTGGCCCCGTGGCCCCCAGAAGAGGGCCCCAGAGACATGGGCAAGCCTCCTCTTCAGCAGACAAGTGCCCTGAACCCCAGGAGCTGGGAGGTGACTTGTCAGGGCGGCCTCACCCCACGGTCACCATGCCAAGGTGCCCTGGGTGGCAGGGATCCCCATCACGTCACAAGGCTGGTGGCACACCCAGCACACCGGCCCTGGCACCGTCACCACAGCTCTGGCTCACCGGCCAGCCGGCCAGCCACTAACATCCCAACACTGTCTGAGGCTCTCACCGGGAGCCTGACAGCCCAGAGCAGCACGGCTGCCGGATCTACTAGCCCCCTCTCTCTCTCACTCCAGCTCTAAATAGCCGGCCTCCTCCAAAAGCAGTTTCCTCTTAAAAAAAAATAATAATAATAATTATATATATATATATATATATATATATATATATATATATATATAATTGATTTTTTTACAGAGAGGAAGAGAGAGGGACAGAGAGCTAGAACATCCATGAGAGAGAATCACCGATCAGCTGCCTCTTGCAAACCCCCTTCTGGGGATATGCCCACAACCAAGGCACACGCCCCCGCCCGGAATCGAACCAGGGACCCGTCAGTCCGCAGGCCGACGCTCTATATCCACTGAGCCAAACCGGTCTCGGCCAAAAGCAGTTTCCTCTAAAGCCACCGATAATCATCACAAAAGGCCTCTGGACACTGATCAGTCAAGCAGGGTCCCCGAACCAGCTCTCTCTCTGCTCAGGAGCTTTGTGTTCCCAGCAGAACCGGGAGCCACAGCTCGGCCTGATTGCTCTGTGCATCCGGAGAGCCAGGCCCGGGCTCCAGCCACGTCCGGCTCTGACTCCGTGCCACCTTTCTGCTCCTCGGGGCTCAGGGTTTCCGCGGCCACGGAGCTCCGCGGTGAGCACTTAGGGTCGAGGCCGAGGCCCGTCAGCTGAGGCCAGGCAGCTCCTGCCCTGTCCTTCGGAGGCGGCAGCAGAGAGACGGTTCATAAATCAGCCCTTCTCGGTGAAAACATCTTCCGGGCAGGGCCGGGCCCTGTCCTTGGCCCCGAGATATGGAACTGAAAATATGGACAGTTTCTCCTGCTGAGCCAGGGTGGGAGCTGCGGGAGCCAGCGAGGCAGCCGGGAGCCCTCCCGGGATGGGGGCGGGGGGCCTCGGCCCGGGGAAGGGCCTGGCATTGGCAGCGTGGCCCGATGCGGGCGTGCGGGGCCTGGCCCGTGGGCTTTCGGTGTCTGCCCGGGAGAGGCGGGCCTCCGTGGGTGCGAAGGAGGCGGCCGGGACGTCTACATGCTCCTCGGTGCCTGCCCAGGTCACGCAGCACACGCAGCCCGGATGCCTCGAGTGATTCATCACCTCCTGAACCGCCCAGCGGGCTGTGTCAGCCGAGGCCCTGACCTCCCTGCCTCCACACGGGAGCACCGGGTGGCCAGGCCGGTCGTCATCTGCCCATTTCTCAAGAGCCCGGAGGCAGTGGGGACCTCCCTGCCTCTCTCTCCCCGGGAGCCGGGGTCAGTTTCGGCTAGGAGAGGGCGCTCGGCGCCCTGAGCCTGGGACTCTGGTTCAGGGCGCCCGGGGGCCACGCTTCTGGCGGGTCTCCGCCCTGAGACCCCGGGCAGAGGCGGCCAGACAGTTCGTGTGCCCTGCGGGGAGGCGTGCACCTTAACAGAGGCCCAGCAGGGGGTGTCTGTTACCACGGAGACGGATGTTTCATGAGACAGCGTCCTTTCTGTTGTGTATGTTTTTATTTGCTACTGATTTCAAAGAGGAAAGGAGAGGGAGAGAGAGAGAGAGAGAGGCATCAGTGATGAGAGAGAATCCATTGGCTGCTTCCTGTATGCCCCCCATTGGGGCTGGAGCCTGACCTTGGGCATGCGTCCTGACCGGGAGTCGAACTGTGTGGTTCATGGTGGATACTCCACCCCTGAGCCACCCGGCTGGGCTGTTCTGTTTATTAGTTAGAAATACTGTGACTCACTAAATTGACTTGACAACCGGCGGCTAGATTGCGTTTAGTGTTTGGGAAACACGACTGCGACAGATTCCCGATCAGCAGGGATGCTGGCCGGAGAGAGCCGGTGTGGTGTGCCTGTGGGCGGCGTGCCCGCTGTGTGCCTAGAGAGAGGTGCAGACCAGCCGTCAGTCCGGCCGGCGAACGGCCAGAGAGAGCCCCGAGCCCCGTCGCCCTGCCTGCCTCCACCTGGGCCTGGAGCCGTCCTCCCTCCTGCCTCGCGGGCTGCGGGGGCACCGGGAGGAGGGCACGGGGTGAAGAGGGGCAGGGCGGGTTCCTGATGGGACGGGAACAGGCCCCCACACGAGCCCGGCCACCCCCGGTGACATAGGTCATCACCCCGTGTGTCACCGTCTCCCTCCTCTGCCTCTTGCCCTTTGTCACCGTGAGCAAACAGGGAGCTCCCACCAGGCCAGCCTGTTTGGCAAACACCTGGCGCTGCCGGGCGGGAGAAAACAAAAGTGCAGGGAGGGACCGGTTCCCAGCAGGTTCTGGGCGGAGCTTGGCACCTGGAAGCGGGGGCTTCCCGGGGGGGGGGGGGGGGGGGGGGGGGGGGAGGGAAGGGGGAGGGGGCGGGGAAGGGTTTTGCCATCGGTCACGGGGCCGCCCCCCAGTTGGTAACAGACCAGGGCCCTTCGTGGCCAGAGGCCGGTGGGATCGGGGTGACGGGGACCAGCAGCACCCAGGTGGGAGAGGACAGGAGTCTCCCCTCTGCAAGGTTCGTGGAGATGATGGGTGTGGCTTCACCGCTTCCCGTACGCGACCCGGGAAGGCCCCAGCCGCACGCCTCAGTTTCCCTGTCGGTAAAAGTGGGACGGTAATAGCCACCTAACAGATTGTTGCCACGTGTGACGCGAGGTCTTCCGTGCGCGGTGCTGGGACACGGAGGCGTTCCTCGGTGTTCGCCAAGCGCTGGTTGTCCTCCGTCCCGCTGCCCAGGCCTCCTGGTGGCTCCTCGCTGGGCACTGCCCCGGAGGCAGCTGCTGCGTGAGTGTTTGCCGGGTGCACAGCATGTGCTCACCGTCGCGGGAGAGGCCCGGCTCCGAGAGGCCTCCCACGAAGGTCCCGCCCGCAGGGACACAGAGCTCACCATGGGGCTGCCAGGCGGGGGGTGGTGTGTGGGCAGCAAAGGCTGGGGCTTTGCTGGCTCCCTGAGCTCTTTCCCTGGAGGGTTTTCTGCGGGAGGGGAGCTCCTGCTGGGTGCTGAAGGACGGGCGGGGCTGGGCCGGGAGAGGCGTGTGGGCAGGTGGGAGGTGAGAGCACAGGCCTGTGTGGGAAGGACACGTGCTAAGGAGACTGGTCAGGCCGGAGCGGAGGCTGGTGCACAGGGCTGAGGTCATGCCGGGAAGGGGGAGCCCCAGCATGCAAGGCCGGGAGTGTGGACGCCCGGTCGGTCGGATGGTGTTGGGGCCGTTACCTTAGGGGCTCTCGCTGGAGGGTGTGATGTCAGGCGGGGGCAGGAATAGAAAGGTGCCACCTGCCACCCTCCCATCTGGGGAAAGGAGAGGGCCCTCGCTCAGCAGTCCCCTTCCCTCCCGACGGCTCCTCCACTCACTGTCCACAGCGCAGGAACTGTTACCCTTACAGATCCTCTGGGCTCGCCTTAAGGTATTTGGGTAAGGTGACCAGACATCGGTCCCGATTCTCAACAATTTGTCCCGAGTCTCGCAATGTTTTAAAAAGTCCCGATTTTGGGGACTTTTTTAAAACGTCGTGGGATGCGGGACAAATTGTTGTTGTTGTTGTTTTGTTTTGTTTTTTAAAATATATTTTATTGATTTTTCACAGAGAGGAAGAGAGAGGGATAGAGAGTTAGAAATATCAATGAGAGAGAATCATCGATCAGCTGCCTCTTGCAAACCCCCTACTGGGGATGTGCCCGCAACCAAGGTACATACCCTTGACCGGAATCAAACCCAGGACCTTTTGGTCCGCAGTCCGAGGCTCTATCCACTGAGCCAAACTGGTTTCGGCAAATTGTTAAAAATCTATTCTTTCCAAAAATCGGGACTTTTTTTTTAAAATACCACGGGACTCGGGACAAATTGTTTGAAAATCGGGACGTCTGGTCACCTTATATTTGAGGTGATATTTCTTCAAACTTGTTCTAAGAGCTTGGACGCCGTGCCACAGATGGTCACCGCTATAAAGTGTGCTTTCTACCCCGCCCTGTTTTGCCCCCACCAGCCAGTTGCTCCTGGTTAGGCTGGTAAAGGTCTGCCCGGCGCCAGCTGGTCTCCGGTGCCAGCGGGACTCCTGCCTCTGGGGGACTCGGGGGTCTCCCAGCGGCTCCGAGGTTGAGGAAGACAGACAGATGCTCCCGTGTAAGACGCCGGAGGGAGATGGGCCAGTGGCTGAGTGCTCCCCGGGGAAGGAAAGCTCTCCTCTGTGTAAGGCGGCAGAGAGAGAGGGGCCAAGGGCTGAGTGCTCCCCGGGAAAGGAAAGCTCGCCGCTGGAGCCCTAATTGCCCGCTTCCGCAGCGTGCCTTGGGCAGGGCCCGCCTCCCACAGCTGAGTTAATAAGAGGAGAAAAATGTGCCCAGACTAGATTTTACTGTGACTTTTACGTGAGCCTCCGAGACGATCAAAGGGCAGAGACTCTCAGTGTAACTGAACACAGATGTCTTCTGAGCGACTTCCACGTCCCGGACACTGTGCCCAGCACAATGGGGCTGGCCGAGACGAACAAGCTATGGGCAGGCCTGCCCCCCAGTCAGGGAGGCGGGCAGGCGGGCGGGGGGAAAGTTCCAGTTGCAGCCCATTGTAGCTGACGTGGAGGGAGGGGGGGCAGTGGGAGCTAAGTCATCTGGGGTCAAGTTCTGGGTGGTCTCGAATGGGGTGAGCTGGACATTATCCATTGGCAGCGAGGAGTCAGGGAAGAGATTAGAGGAGTGACACCATCAGACCAGAATTAGGCCTGAGGGCAGTGGTCGGCAAACCGCGGCTCTCCAGCCCCCCAGGCCGAAAACCGACTTCTGAGCTCGGGCCACGAAGCTTCACGTGGTGTTTTGTGGAAGAGACACACTCAAGGGGCCAAAGAGCCGCGTGTGTGTGGCTCTGGAGCCGTGGTTTGCCGAGCACTGCCTTGGGGACATTAGCAGCGGGCAGAGAGGAAGATGGTCGGGGAATGAGAAGACTGAGCGTGTTAACCTGCTGAGGGAGGGCAGAAGTGAGGGCAGGGCGGACAGTCACGGCAGGCCGGGGGCCAGCCCTGGTCTGGACAAGGCGGCTGGGCGGGAGGGCCCACAAAGGTCCAGTCCACAGACCTTGTCAGCTGGCTGGGTGAGGGGCTGTGGGAGAGGGCAGTGCTGGGCTGGGCGATGGTCACTAGGTGAGATGGGGACAGGGGTGGAGAAACAGGTTGGGGAGGGGCGACTCCATCTTAGAAAGGGGTGTTGCCCCACCCCTGAGCGGAGGACACAGGAAGAAGCAGAAATCTAGGGCCTGGAGGACCTGAGACAGAGGGATCCGACGGCAAATCCCTGAGACAAAGCAGACGGCATTGGCGAGGGGGACACGCAGGTTTCTCCATGCATCCATTTGTTCACTCATTCGTTCGGGAGCGCAGGGGGCGCCCCCCGGTGGTGACGAGGTCTCCCCGGGTTTGTAAACGGGAGAGCGTCATAACTAAGGTGACCGACCAGACGTCCCGCTTTCGGCGGGACAGTCCCGATTTTTAACAATTTGTCCCGTGTCCCGCGGCGTTTTAAAAAAGTCCCGCTGGGCCGAAACCGGTTTGGCTCAGTGGATAGAGCGTCGGTCTGCGGACTGAGGGGTCCTGGGTTTGATTCCGGTCAAGGGCATGTGCATTGGTTGCGGGCACATCCCCAGTAGGGGGTTTGCAAGAGGCAGCTGATCGGTGACTCTCATCGATGTTTCTAACTCTCTGTCCCTCTCTATTCCTCTCTGTAAAAAGAAATCAATAGAATATATTAAAAAAAAAAAAGTGACTGTGGGTGGGCACCCTGCAGCACAGAGAGGCGTGCCTTTAGTTTTGTTCCTGAGACACCACGTCAGCCCATGCGCGCCTGCCCGTGCCTTCCTGTCGGATCGCATGTCGCAGTCCACGACACCGGTGATCGCTCTCCCCGGTGATCGCTGACACGGGACTCCGTTCATTCCAGATGCGTTCAGTCCCCGCAGAGCACCCCGTTAGAAACAGGGAGCTGTGCGTGGCATGTGCCAGGGGTGGCCCTCGCCCAGAGGGAAAGTCCCCGGGAATGTTCTCGGAGACGAAGGCGTGGGTGGAGTGAGGCCCAGGGAGCAGGGGAGGCTGCAGGTGGGCGAGGGGGCGGCTTCTCGCCTCTCCATGCCTCAGGCCGGGCAGCTGGCCTCGGGATTTGCCTTTTTTCTGCCTGTAAACAAGGGCCAGGTGATCCGTGGCTCCTGGTGAGAAAGAGTTGGGAAGGAGGGGAGGGATGATGACGACGACGACAATAATGATAACATGTCGAGACCCTTTACTGTATTCCCCTGACACCATACTAAGCTCTTTAGCTGTGTTATCACCGACCCCTTGCAGCCGTTCTTTATATGGTGTCATCCTCGCTTTAAAGATGCGTCGGTTCAGGGAGGATTATGATTGCCCAGGGTCACACAGCCAGGGTGTAGCAGAGCCGAGCCTGGGACCCAGCCTGGGACCCAGCTGGCAGACCCTGGGCCTGCGCTCCGCCGGGCTCCAGCCTGGGGCGAGGCCAGCTGGCCACTCTCTGGAGGCAGAGGCCAGAGGTGTTCACGGCGGCCCCGGGGTCAGGGCCTCGGGAGGAGTCCCCTTCCCGGCCCGCGGGCCCTTTCCCGGCAGTTCCGTGGCTGCTGCCAGGACAACCGGACTGTGGCAGCCCCCCACCCCCACCCCGTCTGTCTGTCCTCTCACCCCAGAGGGACAGACGGGGCCTGGGGTGCCATGGGAATGGGAGGAGGGCAGAGCTGTGAGTCCAGGTGGCCTGTCTCTTCAGAGGCCGGGGCTCAGCCTCCAGCGGGACTGAACGTGGGGCGTTGGCTGGCCGGGTGGGGAGTGGAGCGGACGGAGACAGCGGCCTCCAGGCCCCTTTTCCAAGATCAGGGACCAGGACAGGCGGCCTCCGGGGGCGGCTGACGTTCCCAGGGCGTGTCTGGCCTCCCGTCACTCCGTTTTCAGCGAGTCAGGGAGGGAAAGCAGCCGCCGCCTTCCCGTTCGTTCATGCACACGTGTTCCCGGCCGCTGTGCTGGCTCCGGGGCTCTGTGAGGCTGTGCACCTGCCATCACGCGTGTGGGCAGGTTTTAGGCTCCTCAGGGCCTCGGGCTGTGGGTTAGGGGTTGCATGCGAGGACGGAAGGCGGTGGGTGGGGTGGGGGGGGATTCCGAGTCCAGCTCCATCGGCTTTTGCACATGCAGAAACGGGCGCTCACCAGCTTAGGGCCTTTGCCCAGAGCCGCCCGTTCCGCGAGCTGTGGGGTCTGAGGGCAGCGCCATGAGGCACCCCGTCAGCCCTCGGCCGCACCTGCCCCTCACTGACTGCCCGTGTGTTTGTTTCCAGTTCTTCAAGGCCTTTTCCAAGAGCGGCCCCGGAGCGACGCTGGCAGGTGGGTATCCTGGCGGCTGGTGGCCTGTGGGCGTGGGCTATGGCTTCCTGTCCCGCCTCCCTCTGCCCCGGGGCTTCTGCTGGGACAGAAAGAAGCACAGCCAGGTCTGCAGAGGGCGGAGGTCCCCAGCGGAGAGCCGTGTGTGTGTGTGTGTGTGTGTGTGTGTGTGTGTGTGTGTTTTCTAGCCGTCCGTCCGCCCGCCCGCCCTGCTGGGAGGTGCCTTCAAGCAGAGGGGCTGGCATGCCCTTCCATATCGGTCTATCCAGGGTCCCGGGAGCGGGGAGGGTCCCACCTTCCCAGGATCACCCCCAATGTCAGGGCTCGGCATCGGAGGTGCGGGCCCAACAGGAGGAACTCGGGTCCGAGGGACTCTTCCCTGCCCCTCCCCGAGGGAGGAGTCCCCTTGCGTAGTGCAGGGCGGTGAGCACAGAGCAGGCCTGACACGCGCTGCTCTTCCTGGGCCCTTAGTTTCTGGGGGTGACCCTAGCCCCGCTCTGCTCTCCTCACGCCCCTCCCCGTGTCCGTCTTCGTCCGCAGTGGCCGGAGCGGACATGCAGACGCTGCGGCAGAGGCTCATCGACGCCCTGGAGACCCATACCACCACGTGGCCCCCCGCCTGTCCTCCGCTGGAGCCCACCGGGTACTGGGCTCGGGGCGGGCTCGGGGCAGGGTGGGCCTGGAGGCGGGAGGTGGTGGGGGTGTTAGGGAGGGGACCCCGGTCAGTCCCGGTGCCTGTGAAGTGAAGGGAAGGTGATTTTTTTTCTGAGCAGTGGCTGTGACCGGGGTGGGGTGAGACTCCACTCCCCGGACAGCCGAGGGTCAGCCTGCTGGCTGGCGGCCTGTATCTGCGTTCCCGGCAGGCGTCCAGGGCTGTCTCTTTCCGAAGACAGTGAGGTGCTGAAAATGCACCACGAGGGAGGTGAGGAAACGAGAGACAGAGACATGTCATTGAGAAATGGAAGCAGTACAGAGCAGGGTCCAGGTTTGGCGTGGATGTTTCCTGGGCCCACCCCACACCAAGACTGCGGGTCCAGGGTCTCCGTGAGGCCCCGGAGGAGGGGCACTTGGGAAAAACAAGGAGTCCTGTGAGTTGGGTTTGTAGATGCCGTCGTCAACCTCTATGTCTTCCTCTCTGTGGATAGTTAGGACAGCCCCCCATGTAACACGGGGACCAGCTCTGGAGCCCTGCCCGGTGACAGCACAAACGATGTGCCAGAGCCATACCTTCTCCCACCCACGAACGGGTGCACTCTGGCCCCACTGGGCGCCAATGCTGGCCCCCGTGGTGCCCTCTGTTTCGAGGCGATCGCCACCACATCACCAGCGGCGGGAGCCAGGTTGTCCGCATCTCGCCTGCGGCCTCTTAGGCATGTGTGATGACGTTCTGCTTTTCCGCAGAGCTAGGAGACAAATCATTTTTGTTTGTAGCATTTATCTTCTGTTGAACTTCGAGTTATGAAAATGACCGGTTGGCTTATTTCTCCGATTCGGGGACATAATAAAATGTGCCACCTCATTAATTTCCACCAATGCTCAGTTTCCTCACCTTAAACCGAGGAGGTTGGATTAGAGAGTGTTGGTTCCTTTCATGTGCTTTCTCCAGGAGAGGAAGGAACAGATCCCCCCGTTGGTAGTGCTTTGCCACAGATCAAGGCTCGTGTCTGGTGGCCACTAATCGCCCGTCTCTTAGGACAGCGGTCGGCAAACTCTTTAGTCCACAGAGACAAATATCAACAGTACAACGATTGACATTTCTTTTGAGAGCCACATTTTTTAAACTTAAACTTCTTCTAACACCACTCCTTCAAAATAGATTTGCCTAGGCCGTGGTGTTTTGTGGAAGAGCCACACTCAAGGGGCCAAAGGGCATCATGTGGCTCGCGAGCCGCAGTTTGCCCACCATGGTCTCAGGGAACCAACAGAATCCATATTCACTAAGCCTGCGCCTAACCCAGAACATAGAGACAGCTGGCCTCCAGGTGTCCCTTCCCAGTCCTCCTCCCCAGACCACACCTCCTCCCTCCTGACTCATAAAGAGACAGGATGGCGAAGCAGGTCCCCTAGGTGGGTGAGATGAAGAACCAGGGATCGGTAAGGGGCACTGTCCTTTGTGAATAAGGGTTTGGAGTATCCCCCGCCCCTGGAGCGCAGGGTGTGTGTGTGTGTGTGTGTGACCTCCAGGAAGTCTTGAGTCGAGGAGGTTGGTGTGGCTGTATTTGCAGCTGTGTCTGCTGGTGTCACAAGCACTTCTGTGTCATTCCCACCAGCGGTGGAGTGACTTCAGGCCTTGTCTCTTGCAGGCTGGAGGAGATTAATGGGTTCTTTGCAAGAAACGACGAAGAGTACCTGGCTCTGATCTTTGAGAAGGAAGGCTCCTACCTGGGTAGAGAGGTGAGCTGCCCTCGGGGTCTTTGTAGCTCCCGGATAGCACTTGGGGGAGAGCCGAGCAAGTTCAGGAGCAGGGCTGTCCCCCAAGTTCTTGGGTCTCCTGTATGTACCCTTTATGAACCCAGCACTGGCCTGACCCCTGCTGGGAGAAACGGGAAGTGCAGGAGCTGGGTCATTCTGTTTTAAAACCTTTGTACATATTTTTCTTTTTTAATTGAAGTGTAACGGACATGCAATATTACGTTAGCTTCAGGTATGCAGCACAGGGATTTGACATTCGTGTACATTTTTAAACTATCACCGTAAGTCTAGTTACCATCTAATAATCACCACACCAAGTTAATACACCGTTACCAACCATGTCCCTGTGTCAGCTTTTACCTCCCTCATTGGAGCCAAGCTCGATGCGACCTGCAGTTTGTTGAGCGCTGGCTTGGATCGCTGGCACACACAGTTGCTAACCTTCACGATTAACAGTGATGAGCACATGACGTGTCGAAAGTCATACAGCCATTGACTTTGCAGTGCAGGCCTTTTGACCGGCTCTGCCTGCCTCCATGTCATCTCCACATTGGCCCTCCTTTCATCCCGTAGAAGTGGGGTGAAATGTATTGGGGGGGGATAACATCGGAGATCCTGCAACCCTTCCTGAGGAAGTGGGGTCCGCACAGGCAGGCAGTTACGGAACCAGGCAGGCTTGCAGTTCCGCTCCATGCTGTGTTGCCATCCAGTTGCTCAACATCTCTGAGCCTCACCTCCCTGTGGGTAAAGCAGTGGTAACTGCCTTTCTTCAGAGGAAGGTTGGCAAAGTCAGCCGAGGCGGTTTAGGAAAAGGGCCCGGAGGAGTGGCTGGCGCGAGAGGGTGTGGGGTAGAGATCCAGGCCCCTGGCCTAATGCAGGCGCGGCCCTTCCCGCCGCCGTGGATCTCCGGACGCAGAGGGGGGACGGGCCAGGGCACGGGAGAGGTGCCAGGGCAGCGCCCGGGGATGGAAGAGGTGAGAGGGGGGGGGTTGGGAGGGCGGTCAGCAACGCCGTTGGCTCTGAGTGGCTTTCCTCCTGACACTCGTCCAGCTCAGCTGAGAGCTCTGCGGTGTCCCTGCCCTTCGCCCTGAGGAGGGAAGCAGGGGAGCCGTGTGGAGACAGGCCGGGCCCTCCCGGGGTCCCAGGCCAGGGGTCATGCCTGTCACCTGCAGGTGATGGATACATGTTCACTGGGATCAGCTCTTCTCCCTCTCTCCCCCACGTCCCCAGAGGAACCAGGAACAAGGCCCCTGTAGGCTGGCCGTGCAGAGGTTTTCAGGGTGGTTATCCATCTGAGAGGCAGGAGGGGGCGGGCCCCGGCTCTGCAGCCCCATTGCGCTCGCTGGCTGTGTGACCTGGGAACGCGGGTTCACCTCGGAGCCTCTGTTTCTTCATCTACAATCGTTTTTTTCTTTCTTTCTTTCTTTCTTTCTTTCTTTCTTTTTTTTTCAAATATACATTTTATTGATTTTCCACAGAGAGGAAGGGAGAGAGACAGAGAGAAACATCAACCGGCTGCCTTCTGCACGCCCCCCAGTGGGGATGTGCCCGCAACCAAAGTACATGCCCCTGACCTGAATCGAACCCGGGAGTCTGCAGGCTGACGCTCTACCCACTGAGCCAAACCGGTTTCGGCTCTTTTTTTTTTTTTTAATGAACGCTTACAGCACCTACCGTTTGCTAGTCATTGTCACCAGCACGCTTATAAAATTAACCTACCCAGTCCTCTAACATTGGTATTGTTATAATTCTGCAAGTCAGGACGCTGAGTCGGGGAGAGGTTTAAGCAGTGGGGCCAGGGTTCCAATCCAGGCAGCTGGGTCTGCGGACCGGTCCTGCTGCATGGTGATACTTTAAAGATTAAATGAAGCAGCCTGTGCACAGCAGGTAACACATACCCAGTATAAGTTCGCTAATATCCTTCTCCCCTTCCTGTTCTTCCTGAAGATAAAACAGTCACGACGGGCTCAGTATGTCTTTCTGACTTGGAATGTAGCTGGAAAACCTGATGAGAACAAGCGTAAAAGGAACCCACGCTCCTTTTTGCCTTTTTCGAGTTGCTCTCATGGGGAAGAAGCTGATGTTACATCGGGGCTGTCCTGGGAGATTCGGGGGGTGTGGTGTGCGATATGCGCAGTTCCAGGCCCCTCCTGTAGGCAGGGTTTGGCTCTCGTTCCCTCCGTCGTGGGTTTGGTTGGTGACTGGAGACTCACCCATCGCCGTAGTCTGCCATGTGAAAGGTGTGGAGGGGCTGGAGCTGCCAGCCCAGGTGGGCGCCAGGCCTCCCTCTGCCCACACGCGGCCCCAGCTGCTGACTGCCTCCGCAGGTGATCCTGGACCTGTCCCAGCGCCAGGGCCTCGCGGTGCGCAGGGTCCTCAGCACGGAGGCCGACGTGGTGAGCAAGTTCGGCGTCACGGACTTCCCATCCTGCTACCTGCTGTTCCGCAACGGCTCTGCCTCCCGGGTTCCCGTGTGAGTGTGGGCTCTGCCCCCTGTCCTCCCTCCCTGTGCCCACCCCTTCTCCCTGCCCGGGAGCCTGCCTCTCCTGCTGGGCTGACAGTTCTTCCCGGGAAATCTTCTTTTTTCTTTTTCCATTTTTCTATTAAGCTATTATATGTGTACATATCTTACCAATTCCCCTGCCCCCCCCCCACTCCCATACATGCCCTCCCTCCCCAGAATTTTGCATCTATTGGTTATGCTTACATGCATGCATACATCTTCCAAGCAGCCCCCGGGCAGGCGAGGAGCGCCCTCCGCAGGAGAAGCCGGCGTCTGCCTGTAGGTGTGGGACGGTGTCTCCACAGCCAGGAGTGGGGCCCAGGAGGATGTCCTTGGACCCCAGCCCAGGCATCCGGCCTCAGGCTCCTGGGCACCATCCCCACCGCAGCCCTGGCCCTGGCCCTGGCCCCCCGCCTCTGCCCAGACAGACGAGCTGGCAGGCTGCGGGCCTGGCGGGCACTCAAGTATGCCTGACCCTCCCTCCCTCTGGCTCTCTAATTGCAGAAAAGTTCATTAGGAGCCAGACAATAGCCAGCTCCAAAATGCCAAGAGAAAACAATCAGGCCACCCGCAGCCCCTGTCAGGCTGCCGCTGCCGAGCGGCCCGCTAAATGGCGCCAGATGGTGCCTCGGTGCCCTCCCCGGGCGATGATTGATGTCGGCCTGGCCCTGCCAGCGGGAGCTGGAGGGCCGGGATTGAGGCTCGCTGGAGGTGCCCGGGGAGCCGTGCCTCCGGGCCGGGCCGCCAGGGGCCCGCGCTGAGGCTGAGCGGCGGCCTCTCGCCCCGCTGGCCGGTCGCCCGGCCGCTGGGCAGAGGGTGTCGGGGCGCCGACGGGCTGGGGGTGGATGGGAGGAGGTACGGCAGTCACCGGGGACAGGAGGGGGGCTCCTCTGAGCAGGCCCAGACGCTCCCGTCCTGGGGGGAGAGGGCATGGTTCCTCGCTGGGAGCTGGCGGAGGGGAAAATCGTTTGTGACGACGCTGCTTCGGAGCCATCTGCTCACTGATACACACCGGCTGGGTCAGCGGAGTGGAAAGCGATGCTCCTGATGCCAGCTCCCCCAGGTCCCCTCACACAGCTTCCCTCACACAGCCCCCGGGGTCCCCTCCCTCCCTCAGCCCCCGGGGTCCCCTCCCTCACACTGCCCCTCGGGATCCCCTCCCTCAGCTCCCGGGGTCCCCTCACTCACCCTCACTGTCCTCTCAGCCGCCTCCCCGGGGCCGGGCCAAGGCACACCTCCTCCTCTGTCATGAGCCAGAAGGAAACCCAAAGGATTTGAGACTGTTGCTGGTTTATTTGTTGCTAGTTTTAGAAAACCGCCTGTGAGGCTTCCTTGGGGAGCAGTGTCCCCCCGGCAGGCCCCGCAGGCCCCTCAGAGAGGCAGCTTCCTGTGCCCTCAGTCTCGGGGGAGGTGGACCCCAGGCCCAGAGGTGTCCGGCCTCCCGCCCCTCAGGGACTTCAGCAGAACAGTGGGCAGGAAGGTGCATGAGGCATCGGTGCTGGCTGTGACCTCACTGGCTGACACTGACCCGAGTTCAGATATTTCTCAGTGAACGGTCTGTCCGATGCCCCCCTGCCCCCGCGCCTGCCCCCGCGCCTGCCGTGAATTAGCTCTGGTTCCGCGTGTCTGTGCTCACCGCCTCCCCCATGGCGCTCTCCCCCCCCGCAGGCTCATGGAGTCCCGGTCCTTCTACACCACCTACCTGCAGCGGTTCGCGGGGGCCACCCGGGAGGCCGCCCAGACCACGGTTGCGCCCATCACTTCGAACACGGTCGCGCCCACCGCGTGGAAAGTTGCAGACCGGTAAGGCCCCTCGGTTTTCCTCGCCCTTCCCCACCCCAGCCTGCCCTCCGCTCACGGCTGCCCCTTCCTACCTCGCTCTGCTCCTCGTCATGGGTGACCCCCGGGGCCTGTGGGGGCTCCCGGCGGCCGGCGGTGCCCAGGAGAGCCCTCGGTGTGAGCAGCAGCATGTCCTCGTGTCCTCCGAGATGGAATGAATGCTCCCCAACACCCACATTCCTTAAGCTTCACTCTATTTAAAAACAAGTACAGTCGGCCTGGAAAGATCACCCGTGGCCCCCGAGCCAGCTTCCCGCCCGGGGGGCGGTGTGGAGAGAGGGCTGGTGCTGGGAGGTGTGTGTGCGGATGCACAGGGAGGTGGAGTCCCGCCCATGCAGCTTCTCTGGAGGTACCGACTGCACTGGAATGTTCTAGTGTCAGTGTCAGGGAGCTCAGTGCCTTTTTTTTTTTTTTTTTTTTTATCTTTATTGATTGCAGAGAGGGAGAGAGAAACAGTAATGATGAGAGAGAGTCGTTGACTGGCTGCCTCCTGCACACCCCCTACTGGGGACTGAGCCTGCGATCCAGGCAGGTGCCCTTGGCCGGAATCGAACCCGGGACCCTCCAGTCCTCAGGCTGATGCTCTATCCACTGAGCCAAACCAGCTAGGGCCTCGCTGCCTTTTTAACAAAAGATTTTTAAATTGACTTTTAGCAAGAGAGAAAGGGAGAAGGAGAGAGAGAGAGAGAGAGAGAAATCGATTGGCTGCCTCCTGCACACCCTCCCAGGGGGGATGACGGACACGCAGCCCCCTGAGCCACACGGCCAGGCGGGGAGCTCACTGCCCTTTGAGGTGGCCTGTGGCCTCGAGCACAGCGGTAAGCAGGAGAAAGCCGCTCTTCTCTCTGAGGTCCCGAGACTCCGCTCTGGCAGTAGAATTCCTGCTTTGGGGGTAGGGGGACACGCCGTCAGCCTCCTGTGCTGACCCCCAGCGGCAGACCAAGCGCATGAGGAAGGCGGCCTCCATGAAGGGGGGGGGGGGGCGTGAGAGAACTGGGGGGGAGGCCGTCTGATTTGCAGAAGAACTCTGCAGCCCAGCTTCGGGGCCTTCTGGGGCGGAACATGCCAATGGAGAGGATATTAATAAACCAGGGGAGAAGGGAAGAGCCCCTCAGAGGTTGGAGTGGTCATTCTGATCACTCTCGTCATGATTACCCAAAGCACGGAGACGGTCACCGGTGACACCCACCGGCCTCGTGTGCCACGCTCTGTGCCGGGCACCTCCCGTGCACCCTCTCTCTCAGTCATGAGGCCACTCCTTCAGGCAGCACCCGAGACTGGAGAGGTAAACCGAGGCCTGTGGAGCAGACAGGAGGTGGTCACAGTGCCCCCTGTGAGCTGACCTTGTTAGCTCCTTACAGCCATGGGGGTCGGGCGACCCTGAGGCCCAGGGGGTGGGGTGAGTTGGCCCAGCTCCCGGAGGCAGCTCCCTGCAGCACTGAGGCCAGAACTCGGGTCTCAGGAGGTGGCTGGAGGAGCAGCCAGCCCATCAGAGCCCTGAGCCCCGACCCCAGTGAGCCCTGGACCCAGAGCAGAGCAGCCTGCTTGGAGCCTGCAGCCTCCCCCCCCCCCCCCCCCCCCGGCCAGGTCAGCAGGAGGTGCAAGTGGAGCCCCACCCGCCCCACCGTGCCCAGCCCTTTCAGAGCCATGTTGCGTGGGACTGTCTGTCTGTCCTTAGGGGGTCTTTGTTCAGAACTGAGAATAGAACTCAGCCTTCCTCTAGTGGCCTCAAGACCCCTACTCCATGCCAGGAGCTGCTGGGGGTACATGTTTGTGCTCTTATTTCACCCCCTCCGCTGCCTACCTGTGAACACCTCATGATGCCCGTCTTTCCGACGAGGAAGTGAGGCTCACAGACATGAACGAAATGCCCAAGGCCACCGTCACCGGCAGAGGCCAGAGCCAGCTGACAGGACTCGGGGACCGTCCGCCCGCCCGCCCGCCCGCCGTGGCCTTCCTGGCCTCTCCCTTCAGCCCCGGGCCTCCTCCCCGCCTGCCCCGTGGTGAACACCCTTTCTCTCTCTCCCTGCCCCTCTGCGTGCTCAGCTCCAAGATCTACATGGCTGACCTGGAATCCGCACTGCACTACATCCTGCGGGTGGAAGTGGGCAAGTTCTCCCTCCTGGAGGGGCAGCGCTTGGTGGCCCTGAAGAGGTTTATGGCGGTCCTGGCGCAGGTGAGCGGCTCCCCGGGGGTCCGTGTGCACGCAGCCGGCCCCTCCCTCGGGACACGGGCCCCCACGGCTGTCCTCGGCCACCATGGGCTGCTGCCCTGCAGCCTCAGCCGTGCCCGCCAGCCCACCCTGTGCGGGGGCCTGGGTGGGACGGCCCAGAGGTACGGGGATTTCCCAGTGTCAGGCGTAACCCTGGAGCGTGGCCGTGGTCGCGGGGAAGCAGGACCCTTGGGCGCCGCAGTGAGGGGATGAAGCCTCTGGCTCGCCCGTGCCCTCCCAGACGCTGAGCAGAGCCAGGCCCAGGTGCCAAGCCCTCGCCGGGCCTTCCTTATTCCTGCCCACGAGGCCTCTCCCTGCGAGGTAGCTGCTACAGGCCTACCAGCGGAGGGCCTGACGCATTTAATCCTCCTGCTCGCTTGGCTGCAGCGGGGAGAGGCTTGCCCCCAGTTAAGGGGCCCGGGATGCTCGAGAGCCTTGCCCGAGGCCCTCCCACTCCCGGGCAGGAGGAGGGGTGACGGGGATGTGAACTGAGCAGTCGGGCTCCAGAACCTTCCCCTGCCATGCGCCTTGCTCCCTGTGCAGGTGCCATGTGGGCTGCCTCCTCCCTCTGCACCTGCCTGCTGCTCCCTCCCTCTGACCCCTCTGGTTCTGTATCTGCCACATGTGCCCTGCTTCAACCCCTGGCTCTGGCCGCTGAGGATTGTGAGTCAGATCCGGGCTCTGGTCCCCTTCAGAGCCTAACTGCTGACTCAGCACCCTCAGCCCTGGGCGCCAGGTCTGAGCTGCTGGGTGCAGGTCTGTGGGCAGCCGGGGCTGTCACCTCTGGGAGTGACCTGCACCTCTCCCTCGGGAACCGCCTGCCAGTCTGGTCCCTCTGCCAGCCTGGCCTTCCTGGCCTTCCGCTCACGTGGCTTAGTCGCGCGCGCGCGTGTGTGATCACACGGAGGACCCGTGAGGTCGCCAGCACTCATCACAGTGCTGTCACTGTCCCAGGCAAGACAGCGCGTGGCCCTGCCCGAGGCCCCACCACACCAGCCCGTTCTGCTAACAGGCCGTTCCTCAGAGGCCCTGGGAGCTGCTCGGTCCCCATGTCGCTGAGGCCGGGGCCCAGAGAATCGGGGGCGGAAAGCCCTGAGTGGTTCTGTGTGCTGCCCCACGGACCCGCACCCAGAAGCTCAGACCTGGCACCCAGGGCGGTGGGTGCTGAGGCAGCAGGCAGGCTCGGAAGGGGACCAGAGCCTGGATCTGACACTTCGCAGGCGTCGCTCAAAAAGAGCAGAGCAGCCCTCACCCCAGTCTGGTCAATGAGGGAAATAAAGTCTTCTTTGGCCCCCAGGGCGACTGTTTGCAGCCAGAGGGAGAGGGAGAACGGGGCCCGGGAAATGCTGGAGTCGGGCAGAGGCTCAGACAGTACCCTCTCGATGGCCCCGGCGGAGCTGGGAATGAGTTTGGGATGAAGGACCCCTCCCTGCCCAAAGCCAGGACAGGCTTCAGAGAGGACAGGCTGCCCACAGCACAGAGGGGAGTGGGCTGTGCAGGACTGAGAGCAGGGGCCTGTGTGAGCCGGCCCACATCCCCTGGAGATGCCCCCGGAGACTGCAGGTATTTCCAGTATTTCAGCCCTGCCTGCAGTGACCGTAGCAGCAGCTGCCATTTCGTGAGCTCGGACAGTGTGTCCAGTGTGCCCAGTGTGCCCGTCTCTGCGAAGCGCTTTTTGTGTATCAGCTTCTCTGTGTTTTATAGCAAACCACAGGGTGGGGTCCCATCTCAGAGAGGGAATGAGGCCCAGGGGAGGAGAGCACCTGTCCCAGGCCCTGAGACATGCACCCACATGTCATCCAACCCATGCCCTCACCCCCCACGTGCACCGAGAGCATGAAGGGGCACCGTGCTCCCGCTGTGCCTGGCAGGAGGGAGGCCCGCTTAGCTCGCCCCTGCCTTGCCCGCTGAGCTGGGGCGCTCCCTGCTCTCTCACGTGAGTGTGTGCAGGACTGGCCACTGGGTGGCGTGTGGTCACCAGGGTTTCCCTGCTCGCAGCAGAGAGGGGGCCTCCCTGTAGCTGAGCCCTTAAGTCATCCTTCCTCCTGACACCCTGGCCTTAGATGGCGGAAGTTCCAGGCCCGATGTCGGGAGGGGCAGGGAGGGACACGGACTCCAGGCTGTAAATCTGTGCTGAGAGCCAGAGCTGTGTGAGCTGACAAGGCAGTGTGTCCGAGCCCAGGATCCCTCCTGGTTCTCCTCCCTCTGGGGACGGACGGGCCCAGACCAGGAGGGGTGATGAGATTAGGGGATGGTTTTCCCGGAAGACCGGGTCGGTGCGCAGGCTCTCCTGTTTAGTGATCACTCCCATCTCCAGGACCTTTCCTCGCTCACACAGCTCTCCTCGCTCGCATTTCCCTCTGCAAATTCCTCGGCGTTGTCCTCCTGACCTGCTCCCCGTGCCCCCCGCTCTCGCCCCGGCCCTCATGCATTTGTGCACACGCACTCACACACACACACACACACACACACACACATCTGTCCTCCTCCCTGGGGTCCCTGTGGCTTTAAAGTGCTGATACTAATCAGATTTGAGCTGACTTTTTGTCGGAGCAGCTTTTCGTGTTCCTCAGAGACTCCTGGGAGTTGCCATCGAGATTGGGATCTTGGCTAGGAGCCCGTGGGCAGCCTCGTCCCCACTGGCAGCCGCGGAATACAGATGACAGGCCGTGTGCCAGCCTCGCCCAGCCGGCCGGTCAACCAGCAAGTCAGCTGCCCCGAGTGAGGGCCCCAGGGCCCCCTGCAGCCCTCTGCCCCGTGGCAGCATGCGGTCAGAGGTCCATACAGGAGCCCCAGCCTCGCTCTTCCCCTCACCGGGCGCCCAGAGCCAGGGTGGGGAGGAGCCACGTCTGTGTCTCAGGCAGATGTTTCCCCGCCTTGGCCCACTTGGCTGGGGGCCCTGGGGGACGGTTTCTCCTCTCCAGCTTGCACTTGCTTCTCCCCTAGTACTTCCCCGGCCAGCCCTTGGTCCAGAACTTCCTGCACTCCGTCAACGACTGGCTCCAAAAGCAGCAGAGGAAGAAAATTCCCTACGGCTTCTTCCAGACGGCCCTGGAAAGCAGGAAGGAGGTGAGTGTGGGCAGCCAGGGAAGATCCTCTTCCCCAGCCTTGTGACTGTGGGAGCGGAGGGGTAACACTGACCTCTGACCTCTACCCATTTGCATTCAGGAAGGAATAGGTGGTCTTGGTTGGGTCTTCCCATTAATATTAATAAATTACTATCGAGCTCTTTCTATGCATAGCTTAATCCCCCAGCGTTAACTGAAAGTGGGTATCATCCCCATTTAGCAGATGGAGAAACTGAGGCGAAGTCACTTGTCCCATAAGTGGTTGGGTTGGGATTTAAAAGCGATGGTGAGACACGGGCTGTGACAGATTTTAGCTGCCGCCCCCTGTGGCCTCCACGCACCCGGGCTGCTCGCTCAGCGCTCAGCGTGGCTTCTCTGAGCCTCTCTGGGGGGTGCCGCTCACGCCGCCGATTGCAAAGGTGGGCCAATTGCAAAGGTGGGCCGGGGCAGCCAGCAGAGGGCAGAGCCATAGACTCGGAGGGTGTTGAAGCTGGGCAGTAACCCTCGTTTCACAGACGGAGAAGCTGGAAGTAGAATGAGTGTGTGACTTGCTGTGACTCAGCTTTTCAGCTCTGATGCCCCTTTGGTGGGTGTGGTCCAGGTAGGGACATGCCCCCCTCCAACTGGCAGCCTGGGAGAGGGAGCTCGTTGGTCTGAGGGCTGTGAGCAGACCTTCCAGTCTCCTGGAAGCTTCTCTTCCCACCGCCCTCCTTTCCTTCTCTGTGCACTCACGTTCAACCTCTGTGTCCCTCAGGGCATCGTGATCGCCAAGAAGGTGAACTGGGTCGGCTGCCAGGGGAGCGAGCCACACTTCCGGGGCTTCCCCTGCTCCCTGTGGGTCCTCTTCCACTTCCTGACCGTGCAGGCCACGCGGCACAACCTGGATCGCTCTCAGGAAGCAGGTGAGCCCACGGCCTGTGCACCCCGGGCCTCAGCCTGGCCCTGGCCCGCCTCACTGGCTCCCGGCTGCAGGCCCCTCTCTAGGGGATTCTGACACAACCAGATGGGACCATGGCGGGGGGGCAGGGGGGGATGCGCCCCACAAGCTCAGGCGTCAGGCTTCTCCCTGGCTTCCTTGGAGCCATAAGCTTGCTTCGTTTTCAGTCTTCATGGAGAACAAGTGGTTCCATCTTCTGTACTCCTATAAAGAAAAGAACTTACGCCGTGTGCTTTGAACAATTTTATTGCTTCCCACTGAAACGTCGTTTTCTAGTGGAAGCTGGGGGACACCTCGCCCCCCTCCCCAGCCCTGCTCCCTCTCCAAACTGTGCAGCTGCTCCATGACCCTTACTGCCCCCCCCCTCAGTGACCCAAAGGGTGACATCCAGCCCAGGCCAGTCCACGTTTACTGGGGACCCGGGGACATGTCAGGCCCTGGCTCAGCCTGGAGGAGGCGAAGGTGGAGAAGAGACAGTCCCTGCTCTGGGCGGTCGGTCGGTGGGACAGGTGGGAGGCGGAGTGTGCCAGGGCCAGGAGCCAAGGGGGAGAAGGAAGTTCAGAAAGAGAGGAAAAGCTCCCCCTGTCTGGAAGGGTAGGCGGGTGAGTTGTGTTAACCCTAAAGAAAAAGGCCAAAGGGAGAGGCAACAAGCACTTCCTTGAGATTTTTTTTTTTTTTTTTTTTTTTAAGGATGAAAAGAATGCCTATTTGGGAAGCACTGATTTGGGCAGAAACCCAAGCATGTGCTGATCAGGGAGCATTTGTGAGACGGGCAGGGGAACAGTTACATCCGCGAAGGAAGGCATCTCTGTTGGTGCAGATCGGCCCGCAGAGAGATGCTAATTGTAAAGAATGTTTTTCGTTTTCAGCCTGGTAGCCAACAGCACAACAGTCATATCTCTGCTTTTGCTTTTTTTGTGATATTTGCAAGCAGTTCTTTGAGACAAAATGCTGCTATAAGCCCATTCCAGAGAGTGGGGGCCTGAGACGGGCACGGCAGCTCCGACTCCGTTTCCAGGCGGCCCCGTGTGTGTCGTGTTTTCCAGAAGAACAGGAGTTGAGCTAGGAAGGACGGGCATCCGGTCCCCAACAGAGACAGAGGGCATTAGGGGAGCTGCCGGGCGTGGGCACAGCCAGCCAGTCCCTGTGTCAGCCCACGTTTACGGAGGTGTCTCCAGCGTGCCAGGCCCTGCTCCAGCGGCGGGCACAGTGGTACGAGGTGGAAGTCCCTGTCTCCAGGGGACAGTATTCCAGTGACAGGAAACGACAGGAAACGCACGATTCAGTTACAATGATGAGTGCTGTGAAGAGGACAGAGCCAAGTGGGGTGCGAGAGGGCCCAGGGGAGGGGCTGCTGTGTTTAGGGGGAGGCTGTTCTGGGGAAGTGACCTGTGCTGAGACCTGAATGGGGGCAGGAAGAGAGTCTTCTAGACGGAATTGGTTTGCTAGGCCGCCATGACCAAGTGCTAACACACTGGGGGGCTAAACCAACAGAAACCTATTGCTCATGGTTCTGGAGGCCGGATGTCCAAGGTGAAGGTGTTGGCAGGGTCGGTTTCTGCTGAGGCCTCCCCTTGGTGTGCAGGCGGCCATCCCCTCCCTGTGTCTTCACATGGTCTTCTCTGTGTGCGTGGCTGTGTCCAGGTGTCCTCTCTTACACACCCTGATGGTCTCATTTAACGTGATCACCTCTTTAAAGACCCTGAGTCCAAACACAGCCACGGGGTTAGGGCAGGAGTTAGGACTCCATCACAGGAATTTTGGAGGACACAAGTCAGCCTGTCACACCTGCTGGCCAAGGACTAGCGGTGCAGAGCACAAGTCTGGCCTGTAGGGAGCGTCAGAGGGAGGCCAGTGTGGTGGCCAGCATGGTGCAGTCTGCAGGGAGAGACAGGAATGGAGGTGGGCATGAGTTTTGGATGGCTGTTTAGTGTTTTGAGAATCCATTGGAGAGCTTAAGCAGGGCATGATGCAAATGACCAATGCCTGAGAAAGATTCCTGGGTGGAGGGCGGGCTGCAGTGGGGGAGGCAGGCAGCAGGGCAGCCAGGAGAGGCGGTGGAGGCCCAGACCAGAGCTGGAGGTGTGCACACGGAGGAAGTGGGTCAGACTTGGGGGAGTGTTGAAGGTGGAGCTGATGGGACTCAGTGATGGATCAGGCGAAGCATAGGCATGATCTAGGACTCAGGGACCTGAACCTATGGCAGATGATGGTCCTAGGAGCCGAAAAATGGGAAGACGTGAGGCAGGGGTGGGGAATGGGGAGTGGACAGGGAGAGAGGGCAGGGAAGGTGGACTTGATGGTTCATGCCCAGGAGACATCTGAGTGGAGAGGTGGACGGTGGAGTCTGGAGTTCTGGGGAGAGGCAGGATGGAGATGCACATCCTGGTCATTGGCTCACAGGTGACAGTTAACGCCGAGGCTGGATGAGCCTATGAGAGGGCGGGCAGAGGCGAGCGGAGGCCTGAGCTCTGGGCTCTGCGGCATCTGGGCCTCGGCTAGCGGAGCAGGGCCAGCAAAGGAGACGAAGAAGGAGCAGCCCCTGAGGTTTCAAAAGGGCGTCCCCAATGGAGCGATTCAGGGAGCCCTAGTCAGCCGAAGGGGTGCCCTGTGCTGCAGGGGCTGGCCCTTTCTGGCGGAGCTATCTGGTTTGGTGGTGGGAAAGGCCTGGATGGGTTGAGCTGGAGACAATGGGGAGTCCCGGGGGTGTTACGGGTCAGAGAAGGTTTCGTTTCTGAAGCTGTTTTGCCGGTTGGAATGATGTCATATTAAGGGAGAAGCTGATGATGCAATAACAAAATAAGGTATTTGCAGGAGTAAAATCTTACAGGAGGTGAGAAGGGAGGAGCCCGGAGACAGGCAGGCGGAGGAGGCGAAGACTGCTGCAGCGCTGGTGGAGGGTGGGCCACTGGGGCGGCTGCAGGAGGAGGAGGGAGGAAGGCCTGGCTGGGTGGGCCCTGAAGCTGCCAGGAACAGCGGCCTGGACGTGGGGCTCAGTGGGACAGAGAACAGCGTGCTGATGTCGTGCTGATGCCCCAGTGGATGGAGGGTGAGGCTAGATGGCCTTTTGAAGGGCAGGGGCGGGCGTGGGGGTGCAGCAGGAACAGCCCGAGGCCATTTCCCTACCTCCAGCCTTCAGGGATATGGAGGGTACAGGGCTAGCAGACAGGGGGGCGGGGGAGGGGGAGGCATTGCTATCTTCAGGGAGGAGCCCAGAGTCAGAGTAGGAGGGTGGGGGGAATAATCAAGCCTGTGCTGATGCCAGACCACAGGGCCCAGGAGGAGGGAATGGGGAGGGAGGGAAGAGGGGGAGACACAGTAGAGGATGTGCTGACAGATCAGGATGGACTCCTGGCCCCAAGCCCCAGGGATGAGGTGCAATGGGGAGCAAGTCGGACAGGAAGCCTGAAGCAGCGGGCCATGGAGGGGCGGAGGGGTGAGGGGTGGGCGCTCTGGCCCCCGACTCCCTCTCTGGCCACTTCACAAGGAGCCTGCGTGTCCTGCTGACAAGTCCGGACTTTAATAAGTGACGGGGCCTGGGTCAGTGGCAGAGGTAAGGAATGGGGGTTAGGAGTTCGGGAGGAGATGGAGTCAGCTCTAAAGTGACCCTCGGGCGGTGGAGGACAGCAGGCAGGGAGGCCCTGGGCGCCTCATTGGACAGGCTGGGGTGTAGGGCCCTGTGCAGAGGGTGTAGGGCCCCGTGCAGAGGATGTAGGTCCCCGTGCAGAGGGTGTAGGGTCCCCGTGCAGAGGGTGTAGGGCCCCGTGCAGAGGGTGTAGGGTCCCGTGCAGAGAGTGTAGGTCCCCGTACAGAGGGTGTAGGGTCCGGTGCAGAGGGTGTAGGGTAGGCCCTGTGCAGAGGGTGTAGGGTCCCCGTGCAGAGGGTGTAGGGTCTGGTGCAGAGGGTGTAGGTCCCCGTGCAGAGGGTGTAGGGTCCGGTGCAGAGGGTGTAGGGCCCCTGTGCAGAGGTGTAGGTGTAGGGCCCCGTGCAGAGAGGTGTAGGTCCCCGTGCAGAGGGTGTAGGGGCCCCGTGCAGAGGGTGTAGGTCCCCGTGCAGAGGGTGTAGGGCCCCGTGCAGAGGGTGTAGGGCCCCCCGTGCAGAGGGTGTAGGGCCCCGTGCAGAGGGTGTAGGGCCCCGTGCAGAGGGTGTAGGGCCCCGTGCAGAGGGTGTAGGGCCCGTGCAGAGGGTGTAGGGCCCCGTGCAGAGGGTGTAGGGCCCCGTGCAGAGGGTGTAGGGCCCCGTGCAGAGGGTGGAGGGGCCTCGTGCAGAGGGTGTAGGGTCCCCGTGCAGAGGGTGTAGGGCCCCGTGCAGAGGGTGTAGGGCCCCGTGCAGAGGGTGTAGGGCCCTGTGCAGAGGGTGTAGGTCCCCGTGCAGAGGGTGTAGGGCCCCGTGCAGAGGGGGGTGAAGGTCCCGTGGCAGAGGGTGTAGGGCCCCGTGCAGAGGGTGTAGGTGGGCCCCGTGCAGAGGGTGTAGGGTCCCGTGCAGAGGGTGTAGGTCCCCGTGCAGAGGGTGTAGGGCCCCGTGCAGAGGGTGTAAGGTCCCCGTGCAGAGGGTGTAGGGTCCCCGTGCAGAGGGTGTAGGGCCCCGTGCAGAGGGTGTAGGGTCCCCGTGCAGAGGGTGTAGGGCCCCGTGCGAGGGGTAGGTGTAGGGCCCCGTGCAGAGGGTGTAGGGCCCCGTGCAGAGGGTGTAGGTGTAGGGCCCCGTGCAGAGGGTGTAGGGCCCCATGCAGAGGGTGTAGGGTCCCCCTGCAGAGGGTGTAGGGTCCGGTGCAGAGGGTGTAGGGCCCCGTGCAGAGGGTGTAGGTCCCCGTGCAGAGGGTGTAGGGTCCCCGTGCAGAGGGTGTAGGTCCCCGTGCAGAGGGTGTAGGTCCCCGTGCAGAGGGTGTAGGTCCCCGTGCAGAGGGTGTAGGGCCCCGTGCAGAGGGTGTAGGGCCCCGTGCAGAGGCGACCGTGTGGGCCCTGGAGGGCAGGGGGCTGGGGCCGGCAGGGCAGACGGTCCGAAGGGCCCCTGTGAATGGCGTCTCCTCTCCCCGCAGCCAAGGCCCAGGAGGTCCTGCAGGCCATCCGGGGCTACGTCCGCTTCTTCTTCGGCTGCCGGGACTGCGCCGGCCACTTCGAGAAGATGGCTGCCGCCTCCATGCACCGCGTGGGCAGTCGGGACAGCGCCGTCCTCTGGCTGTGGTCCAGCCACAACAAGGTCAACGCCCGCCTCGCAGGTGAGGAAGGACCCCGTCTGCGGCCGGCGGCACCCCCGGAAGGAGGAGGAGGCGGGGACCCTGGACCGGAGTCAGGAGACGGGACGCCTGTCGTCCCCCAGGGTGTAGGGTCCCCCGCCGCCTCCTGGGAACAGCACCGCGTGGGGCACGGCGTTTCGCACGCACAGAGCCCTCCGCGTGCTCTGCCAGCCCTGCTGGTGTATGTCGGCATCATCAGACCCATTTTCCGGATGAGGACATCAAGGCTCCTTTTCCCCTGCACAGGCCACCCCCCCTCTGGCCTGGTGGGGTCCCTGTCCTGTCTCCCCATTCTGCTTTCTGGCTCTTGGCCAACAGGAAAGTGAGTGCTGGGCTTTTCTCCCACCCCTGGGAGGAGTCTAGTGACAAAAAGGGCTGGAGAAGAAAGACCAGGTTCTTTCTAGAAAAGGACTGATTTCACCGGGGGAGAAGGGGGCGGGCCCTGGCCTGCTGAGTTCCCCTGTTGGCAGAGCTTCTGTTCCCTCGGCTCAGGAGTCCGATGGGTCCACAAGGCAAAAGCATTTGTCTCCGGGTGAGCGGCTGGCAGGGGGGAGGGAGCCATCTGTGGGCAGGAGCCTGGGCCTGTCTGCGGGGAGAGGGGAGTGTGCGCGGCTGGGACAGCCGGCCCAGGGGGCGGGGCGGGGCGGGGACAAGGCCCAGCAGGGAGGGCAGAGGCGCTGCCAGGAGCAGGTGGTGGTGCAGGGGCTGCACTTGGTCTTGGTCTCCTGGGGCCTTCTGGGGGCCTGAAAAGAAGGCACGTGCCTGTCTCTCCTCCCACCCTGCCCTCCTGCCCCCGCCCTGCCACCAAATGCTCCGTCTGACCCTCTCACCCTATGACCTCTGTGGGCTTCCGTGGGGGCCCAGCTGCTGCTGGTGGGCCAGGAGCCAGGCCTCTCTCCGAGGGACCTGAGGAAGGCCGTTCCCTACCCTCTCTTTGGGGTAGTGGATGGAGGGTCCCCTCAGTTACAACAGATCAGTGATGGGAGGGGAGTCACAGGCCGGGCGCTCACTTCGCAAGGCCCGCTCCCCGCTTCTCACTGGACCCTTGGAATCTACTTGCCGCCTCTCCCCGATATAACCATCTGGCTCCTACGTCTCCTCTGCAGCTTCATTCTTTTTTTTTTTTTTTTTTAATATATTTTATTGATTTTTTTACAGAGAGGACGGGAGAGGAGGGATAGAGAGTTAGAAACATCGATGAGGGAGAAACATTCCTCAGCTGCCTCTTGTACACCCCCACACTGGGGATGTGCCCACAACCAAGGTACATGCCCTTGACCGGAATCGAACCTGGGACCCTTGAGTCCGCAGACCAGTGCTCTATCCACTCAGCCAATCCGGTCAGGGCCGAGGCCTCGTTCTGACCAGCAGCTTCTGTTTTCCTGTGAAGCCCTTTGGAGCGGCGCCTCCTTCACGAGGGATGGGCAGATCGGCATTCCCCGGTGACACCGAGCGAGCGAGAGAGGGGCTGGCGGCAGGCCCTCGGGCTCAGCGGGGGTTCTGCCCACGGCCCGGCCCTGCCTGGGGTCCCAGCTGCCTGGGAGGCAGGGAACTCCTCACCCTCTTCCCGTCCAGGGCCAGGCCTCCCCACACCCACCCCGTGGAGCCCAGCTGGGGAGGGAACTGCACCAACTCGCCCCACCCCACAGGGCTGCAGTGGAATTACTGTGTGCCACCAACTCTTTTTTATTTATTTATTTTTTTTATCTTCCACTTAATTACAAAAGTAACTTATCTTCACTGTATAAGACTTGGGGAATTTCAGAAAACGGCAAAGACGACCAATACTGGCAGACCAACCGAAGCCTTTGCAAGCCAGGTCTTTCCAAGACTGGGGAGAGGGGGAGAAACCAGCTGAGAAGTTGACAGAGGGAGAAAGTAGATTAACATGGGGGAGGAGCCCTAGCTGGTTTAGCTCAGTGGATAGAGTATCTGCCTGCGGCCTGAAGGGTCCCGGGGTCAATTCCTGGTCAGGGGCGCATGCCCGGGTTGCAGGTCGATCCCCAGAAGGGGGCGTGCAGGAGGCAGCCGATCAATGATTCTCTCTCCTCATTGATGTTTCTCTCTCTCCCTTTCCCTTCCTCTCTGAAATCAATAGAAATATATTTTTTAAAAATATGGGGGAGGACTGGAAGGGAAACCGGGGTACTGGGGTGGGGTTGGGAGGACTCCCCTCACCCGGGGGGAGCCCAGGCCCAGTGCTAGCTGGTGTTCGGCCTGCCTCCCCTCACCCCCGCCTCCTCGAGCTGGGCCCTCTTTTGCAGACGGGGGGAGCCGGCGTTCCGAATGGGAGAATGAGGTCTGGGCTTCCGGGGGGGGTGCTCAGCGTCCCCGCCAACCTGTGTGCTTCTCTCCCGCCAGGGGCCCCCAGCGAGGACCCCCAGTTCCCCAAGGTGCAGTGGCCGCCCCGGGAACTCTGTTCCCCCTGCCACAACGAGCTCCGGGGGACGCCCGTGTGGGACCTGGGCAACACCCTCAGCTTCTTCAAAACCCACTTCTCCTGGAGCAACATCGTCAGGGACCCTCCTGCGACCGAGCCGCCCCGGCGGGGAGCGCTGAGGATGGCCGCCACCGCGGAGCCGGAGCCGGAGCCGGAGCCGGAGCCGGCGGCCGGGAACTCCAGTCTGGGCCCCGCGGCCGCGGAGAGCAGGGTGGGCCCAGGGGCCGCGTTCCCCGGGACGGTCGTCCTGGGGGCCTTAGCGGACAGACTCGGGGCGAGCGGCCCCCCGGAGGAGGTGCAGGCTGGCCTCGGCGTGACGGGGGCCGAGCTGCAGCCAGGGCCCCCTGAGCACGGAGCGGGTCTCCCGAGGGGGGAGCAGCTGGAAGGGCAGGAGCCCCTGATCCAGCGGGAGCCGGGAGCCGGGCTGCCGGCGGGGCTCCCGGCCGAGGACCTGCCCGGGGACCCCGCCGAGCGGAGGCGCGTGGTCCGCAGCTCCGAGCAGCTGGCCGCCGTCCCCGAGCGGGAGCGGGAGCGGGAGCCGGGGGCCGGAGCCCTGCCGGGCCGGGGCCAGTGGCTGCAGGTGCTGGAGGGGGACTTCTCGCACCTGGACGTCAGCCTCTGTGTGGTGCTCTACTCCCTGTCCTTCATGGGGCTGCTGGCCATGTACACCTACTTCCGGGCCAGGATGAGGGCCCTGAAGGGCCATGCCGGCCACCCCACGGCCTGACCCGTCCCCCACCCCGGGGCGGGCGGCAGGACAGAGAGCTGCTCCCCGCGGGCTCCTCCGGTCCCCTGCCTCCTCCCCGCCGAGCTCTTGGTCCCCGGAAACCCAGGAGAGCCATTGCCCCAGCGAACCCTCCTTGGTCCCTGTGGGAAGGGATGTTCCCAAGACAGGAAGAGGTGCAGGGTCCAGGCTCCTCAGTCAGCACGGAGGAGGGGTGGGGGGGCAGCCCTGGGCAGGGAGGGGGGGAGGCGCTGTCCTCGGCTTCTCAGCACCTCGTTCCTCTCTTTCAGCTTCTCTGAAGCCCCGCCTCCTTCTTGCTGCCGCTCCAATGTCTCCTGCTCGGTCTTGGCCCTACATGGGGGCAAGCGAGCCTCAGTTTCCAAGGCTTCCCATCGGAGGAGGGTCCCCGGGCTGAGTGGGCTGGAGCAGGAGTCCTCCCTACGCCCCAGGGCCCCGCCCACCCCGCTCCCTTCTGGATACGAGAGGCCCTCGCACCTGAGAAGGAAGGACCACCTCTGGGGCTGGTGGCCTGCCCAGCCTCGGCCCCTCAGACCTCCCGGCTGTGGGGGTTGGCTTGGGCGTAGGGACTGGAAGCTTGTGGAATCCTGTGACCTCCCAGGTGACATCTGTGGGACCCGTAGGGCCTGGTCCCTCCCAGACCTCTGCCGCAGGGAGGGCACAGGCTGGGGCTGGGGTGTGGGGGCTTGCTGGGTGATGGTGGCGGGGCTGGGGTGAGCGGCTGGCTTAGCGGGACCTGGTGAGGGGCGGTGTGGGGTTGAGGTTGGGGGTGTGGGGACCTGTAGTGCCTTACTCGGGGCTGAGCTGGGGGAGGTAGCGTGAACAAGCTTCACGTGTGCTCTTTGGCTCTCCTTCCTTCGGCTCAGCTCCGTGGGAGCTGGATCTTCCTTGATTTTGATTTTCAAGATAGACGCTAATCTTTGAGTGCGGGCGTGAGAAGGTGAAAGGGTCGGAGGGGCGGGTGACGCTGTACATACACATGGCTTGAGTCTCACTCTGCCCACTGCTGCCGAGGGCTGTGGAATAAATTATTTTTGTTAAGGCAAGCGCCCCTGTGTCCTGTCACTTGCTACTTGGAGGCCCAGTGTCCGGGTCTGGGCAGACTGAGAGATCCAGCGAGACACGATTCCCCCAGGCTCACCGAGCTGCTGGACTGAAGGGGACACAGCACCCCATCACAGCCCCTTCTCGAGGGGCCCTCCCCACGCGGCCCCCGAGCGCTGGGTGCTCTGGGCCCAGCAGTCTCCCAGAGCACCAGGCAGCACCAGTGGAGGTGCAGTTCCCCCCCCCCCCACCCCACCCCACCCCACCCCCGCACCCCCGTCTCCCCTGAACACCCGCCCAGGCACTCTCCGTTCTGCTGGAGGCACCTTCGTCTGCACCTGCCTGGCTCTCGGGCATCCTGCATCTCCAGCTCCCTCGGAGGGAGAGGGGCCCTGGGCTGGCGGCTCAGGCCGGAGGAGGAGGCAGCCAGATTGAGGGCCTACCCCTAATCCGTCCTGCCTGCCGGGCTTTACAGGGATAGAGCGGCTGATAACGAACCTCATTAAGAGGGAGCAGGAGCCCCAATCCGATTTGGGGTTTTTCTCTTTGACCTCACTTTGCTCAGACGGAGGGGGTGGGTTCCCAGCATGCCCCTTATGCTAGGGCAGCTGGAGTGGGGGGTGGGGGGCCAGCAGGGGTCTCCCCCTCCCCCTTCCCCTGTTGTGTCAGCCCTGTGTTACCTCCCGGGTGGATCCCCGCCTGGAGCTGCTCCCCTGTCTGAGGTTCCCTGTCTGTGCCTCTGCTCTAGCCACCGCCCTGCCCGCTCGTCCTCCTAGGCCAGCTTGCTCTTCTCCCCCTGCCCACAGGCCCAGGCTGGCAGGCTGAGAGACTGCCCGGCCCGCACAGTGTGGGCCCTGTGGCCTGGCCCCGGGGGTGAAGGGCTTCCACAGGCCAGGATACTGGCGCACACCTGTTCCCACCACCACCTGGCGCTGCCGGAGTGCCAAGGCGGAGGGTTTCCATGTGCCTGCTCTTAGCTCCAGGGACCGTGTTTTCTGAACCAAGCTCAGGCATCCAGAACTCCGGCTGGCCTCGGGGGTGGGTCTCCACCGTGCAGCCCGGCCCCTCTGATTGATAAGCAAGGGCCCGGCCTCCTCCTCCTCCTCAGCAGGACGGCTGCCTTTCACCCTGATTTCCCCAGGGCTCTGGGCAGCATCCAGCATCGATAACGGGCTCCTCCCGCCAGCTGGTCCCCTCCCCGCCCCGGCCTGCCAGGCCTGGAGCTGGGCCTTCTGGGGCTTGAACACCAACCACCTGCCGCTCCGCTCCAGGCCCTCCTCTGCACCTTGGGGGAGAGCTCCCCTCGGGAGAGGGTCCCGGGGGCCCCCATGGCGAAGGCGCCAGGCCCTGGGCGGACGGCGCCCAGGCAGGAGCATTCAGGCTGGTTTCCTGGAGGAGCACCTGGGCTGGGCTTTGAGAGACGTGTGAGCAAAGGAAAGGAGGAGGACAGGGGCACCGCAGGCAGAGGAGAAAGCTCGTGCGGCCGAGGCCAGCAGAGGAAGAGAGTCATTACAACACTTTCGAAGCAAAAAACCAAAAAGCACTTAGAGGAGTTTTCCAAAGTTGCACTTTGGAAGCTGGGAGTGAAAGGAAGAGAGAAGCAACTCCCCTTATTGTGTGGAGCTTACACTCCAGGGAAGGTGAGAGGGAAAAGGATACGGTGGTGAGCACTCTGAGGGGCTGGGGGTGGGGGTGAGGAGCTCTGAGACGTGGGAGGGGTGGAGGGGGTCACGGGTAGGCATGGAGGGACCACAGTCCTGAGGGGCCCCTTCGTTCAGAAGCCACCATCAGTCCCGAGAGGCGTCCCGCCTTCGGCCTGGCTCTTCCTGGCGCAGGGTTGGGGTGGGGAGCCCAGGGTGGGGTGAGGAGTGGGCTCCAGGGGACCCACCCGCCTTGGCCCTGGAGGGAAGTCCCAGCGGTTGGAGGAGGAGGAGGACCTGGCTCCTGCCCCTGGCTGCCCCTAATCCTGGCGAACCAGGAACTCGGAGCCTCCGTTTCCGCCTCCGTAAGATGCAGGCCACCGCCTGGGCTCATGGTCCCTACGGAGCCTTTTCCTCTCCCCGGTGATGCCAGCTGTGCCTCCAGGGCCTTCTGGAAAGGAGACCACAGCTCCGGGGCCTGTGTCCGCACAGAACAGCCCTGAGAGGCTCCGTGGCTGCAGCCCCAGGAGGAGCACCCAGAGGCCTCTTTGCCCGGCGGCCTAGTTCTCCGAGACGGCCCCTCCGAACCTCCAGCGTGCAGGGAAGCTGCAGCGTAACCCACCCCTTCCCTGGCACCCCCCTCCCCTGCCTCCCCCTCCCACTTCAGGGCCAGCCTCCTGTGAGGACAGAAGCTCATCTCTACACACACCTCACACCCCCCCCCCACTGTAAGAACTACATCAGACTCCAAAAACAGTAGTTGATTTTTACCCCTGGCCCTCTTGTGCTGGCTTGCCCCCTCTTCCGTCCTGTATCTGTACCTTCCCACCCCCCCCCCCCCCACACACACACACACATAAACACACAGAGAGAGAGAGAGACAGCAGTGCAGGCCCTGGCTTCTCCCCTGCTGTCCAGCCTGGAGGGGGTGGCCATTCACACCCAGAGAGAAGACCCCTTCTCATTCCTCCCACCCTCTATCCCTCATTGGCCTTCTGACTGGGCCCCGACTCCCTCTCCCACTGAGATCCCAGCTCCTGGAGCCCAGGGCATGGCGGAGGAGGACTCCTTCCAAAGCTCTGGTCTCTGCCCTGGAGGAGAGCACCTCATCGAGGGGCGTGGTGCCCTCAGGAGGGTCACTGGGGTGACAGGCTGATGGCCCAGGCCCTCTGCTCACCTCCGGGCCCTTCCCTCCAGATTTCACCTCTGCCCGGGGCGGGGGCGGGGGCGTGGGTGGGAGGGGGTGGGAGGGGGTGTGTGCAAGGGAGGGTCACAGACAGGGAAAGAGAGTCTCAAAGTCACAAGGCAAAGGCGGGGACCTCTGCCAGCATGAGGAGATGAAGCTAAGGGACAGTCCATGGGGCACTGGCCTTGGGGGTCATTGCCGACGACTCAAGAAGCATCTGTTCAGACTCCGGGGAGAGATCTGCCTGGCAGGGCTGGCCAGTGCCCAGGTGCTTCTTGGCTAGAGCGCCCAGCCTTCTCGGGGCTGTGGCCCGCCAGGAGGAGGGCCCTCGGTGCCCTGGCCAGCCGTCCCCCATCACCCGGAAGCGTGGCTTGCCTCTGCCCGGGTCAGCCTGGAAGCTTCGGCCGCCGTGGTGAGGGGACCGCCTCGTCCGGCCTGGACCTGCTCTGCCGGGTCCCCACCAGGTTCTCAGACCTTCTTGCTTCTGGTGGCCAGAGTTCCGCCTCGGAGCAGGAGGAATTGTTTAGCAGTGGATGCTGGAATACTGGTTACTTCGGTAAATTTCACCCAAATAAATCCCAGTGATATAAAAAAAATAATAATAATAATAAGGCATAGAAAAATATAACTGAGTATTTCACTCATTTTGTAAGTATAAAAACAATGGAAAGTCGCCGAAACCAGTTCGGCTCAGTGGATAGAGTGTCAGCTTGTGGACTGAAGGGTCCCGGGTTTGATTCCGGTCAAGGGCATGTAGGGGGTGTGCAAGAAGCAGCTGATCGATGTTTCTAGCTCTCTCTCCCTCTCCTTCCTCTCTGTAAAAACTCAAAAAAATATATATATTTTTTTAAATAGAAAGTCTAGCTCAGGTGAGAACTTGATCTACTTAATGCCAACTTTCAAAATAAGTTAAAAATAAAATCAAGCTATATTTAAAAACTGGGAAAATATATACGTATATGCCATAAATATGACAAAGGGATATGACTATTACAAAATATGCAATCTTAAAATGAGATGAGTTTGCAAGTATTGCTATAAGCTGTCCAAGGATATATTTCTATAAACAAAAATCTATTTTTATTACAATATTTATTACCAAATATATTTTAATAATGTAATTTAAAATGCCTTAAGTGTGCCTTTTTTTTTTCTTTTTCTTGCAAAAAGCTTTATGGTTTCATTTGGTCCAGTGCCTGGGAGAGGGCCTCAGGATGGTTAAAGGAATGGCCAGTGGTTTCGGGGAGAGGCTCAGGCACCAGGGGATGCAGAGGGGCCCCTCAAAGGCCTCGGGGCTCCACAGGCTCCTAGTCCTGCTGGAGGGGAGCCTTTCCAGGAGCTTCTGGCCCCGCCCAGCCTGGGGGCCGCAGCCTGCGGAGGGGAGCCAGGTGTGGCCCATCTTCCTGATGAGTTTCACCTCCTCACCCGGAAGTGGCTCTGCAGGAAGTCAGAGCTGAGCGTCTGCGGGGGCAGAGCCAGGACACAGAAGTCCACAAGGGCCCGGGCCAGGTTCCTCCCCAAGGCCAGGGCGGCCTCCCTGGCGCCCTGAGTTCTGCCCGCTCATCCTGGGGGAGAGGGCGGCCACCAAGCTGGGTTTGCAGCTTTACAGACGGCTCAGAGCCCTCTCCCTCTCCTCCACCAGCTCGCCCAGAGAGAGGTAGGTGTGGGCGGCCGCAGAGGCAGGGGGTCTGGGGGTTGATGGCAGCCTCCGCCTCAGGGGGATAATTCTGACGAATTTGGGAGCTCATGGTTGTCCGGCGATAAGGGGTTAGCGTAGAAAAGAAGCCGGTGTGCTGGCTGGTCCCGGAGGTGGTGCTGAAGGTGGTGCCTGGATAGGAGATGGAGGGTGGCCGGAGGCTGGGAGAAGGGGTGGCCCCGGGTCTGTTTGTCCAAACTCTGTTGAAGCAAAGTAGGGAGTTTGCACTATAAGAATTAAATACACACACACACACACACACACTGAGTAGGCAGATTATTATGATCTCTGAACGCATAATAATCTGGCCACTCAGTGTATATCCTATATAATAAAAGGCTAAAATGCAATTGTCCCCTCCACCAGAAGTTTGACTAGCAGGCAGGCTGGCCAACCACCCATGTCCCCTCCCCTTGGCCAGGCTGGCCAGATCCTACCCATGCACGAATTCATGCACCCGGCCTCTAATATTTATATACATA